CCACTTCAATAATTTAAATTTATCCTTCTCTAAAAAGCGCCTAAGAAATATATCTTATCTCAACAAGTCTCGCACTACTCTTGAGATCATCCTAAACAGGCTTGAGCATAACAAATATAAAGGGGTCTGAAAAGACAGATGAAAGGCAGATGGTGATATTATTAGAGCTATACCAACATGCCCAGAAAATTGTATTGAGCAAGGCCATTCGATACTCCTGCTCACTGTGACCATAAAAAATAAGGACCCTCTATTTTCAAAAAAAGAAAGAGGTAGTGCTCAAGAGTCAAGACTCTTATCTATCTTTTCAATAAGGACCATTCACCTCATTGTGTTCACACGATATATAAGTGAGTTACAATTGCTTTTCTTCTGCATGAATCATTATAGACTAAAAGGCATACACTCATACGAAATCTGTTAGAACACCTTATGCAACATCTAGTAATTGTTGATGATATCTTTGACATGCATTTTCAAACACAACTCCTCCAATTACTTTCGTTCTTAAAGAGCCCCATGTATGCTATCTTAAAATTAGATCTTCCATATCACGTGCTTCCTTTAAGAGCCCTCTTTTATTTCCATCATTGATCTGAGTGGCTTGAGCAGCCTGCAGTATTCTCATACATTCTGGAAAGCTAAAACTTCTTCATTCATAGTTCACATTACTCGTTTTATTATTTTATTTCATCAATGAGACATAAAGGAAAAGTCGCAACTCAATTACAACTGTGGAGGTTATATATCTTCCACATCAAAATACATGATTAGAACAATTCTGCCAACAATTTGAGATAGTATTCTGCGGTGCATTTCCAACTCCAAGGACTGTTAATAAAACAAATAAGGCACCACAGAAGACAACCTAATCTCATTTATGATTTTGTTCTTCATCATCACAGTATGATATAGCAAATCGAACTTTTGCTCTTTCTCCATACTCCATTATGCACAAATGAAAAACAACCATTTATTATCCCGAAAAAGGAAAAGAAATAAGAACAAGGATCCATTCAGCTAGGACATATTATATATAACCATAGAAACAAATCATTGGTTCTAGTCTCCAGCTATAAACAGAAAATAAAAAATTTCAGGAAAACATCTGCAAGAATGAACTATCAAATACCCCTTACCCCTGCCCCACGAAAAAAAAAAAAAAAAAAAAGCTATGAATCATAGGGTCAAACACAATTTTTACCAATATCAGTAACACCCAATAAAAAGATAGATCAAACAAGGACAGCTAAATACCAAATCAAGAAACCAAGAACATGTAACAAGTCTTAGACATAAAAACCATGTTGTTTTGTCCAAAAACAGAAACACATAAAGATTCTCTTTTTACTTAAAGCAAAATAAAACAAACCACTTACCGTAACTTTTGACTCGCACGAGTGTTCATCTTCAAGATGCGAACAGAGCGACGCGATATCGAAATCCTCGTAACAATATGGACATGGGAAATCAGGCCGTAACTCATCTTCTACCTCAAAATCATCTATGCTCAACCGATCTAAAACCATAAAATAATATTTAAAATTAAAGAAAAAAACATAAGAAGAGAAAAAATTAACAAATAGATCCATATAAAAGGCTAAACGAACCAAGGTGCGAGCTCTGATGATGATGCTGCAACGTGTATTGATGCTTGGCAGCGGCCAGACGAGAGGTCCAGAAATCGGAGTCCATCGAAAGATCAGAAACCGAGCTAAGCTGGTATTGAATATTATTTATTTAATAATTATATTTTTTATATATTCACCTAAATTTTATTTTTTTTTAAATAACGAAAAGCTTTTTGGAAAATCTCTTCTCGGCTCTCTTTGACTTATTCTTAGGAGTTGCAGGTTGATCTAAGTAAGCTTCAGATACGAGAGGACAGAGAGACAGACACGGTGGGCTATTTATTTATTTTTTAATAATGCTGCATGTTTTATGATTAAAAAAAAATGAACTTTTTGTATAAATATAGATGGAGAAGAAAGGTTCAAATATGGAGGATTTAATTAAGAAGAAAGAGAGAGGGATGTTTGTGGTTATGTGAATGTGACGTAGAGCAGAGGAAATGTCGGGCTTCTTTCTTCGTTATTAACACACGTTCTTGTTTGTTTCCTAATTTGCTTATTATTTTAATGGTTTTTTTTTTTATTAATTCTTGCTTTTATATTTTTCTGTGGACTACTTAAATCCTTTGTTTTTGTTTCCACTATTATTGCAACAATCTTTTCTCTACCACAAGTCCACAACTTGCCATGGTTTTAGATAGAGAAGAGCCATTAAGCCTATTTATTTGATTTCAAAATTATATAATTAATTACTTATAACTATAATTATTGTATTTTTAGAAACAATACAGATGTATACTGTAATGACATTTATCTCCCAAGATATTATACAACGATCAAAATCTTTTTAAGGTTTTTGAAATGATATAAATCTATTGTTAAGTTTTAAATGTTAAAATAATAATTTAATAATATTTATTAACTCATAACATTTAAAATTTTAACCGTTCAGTAACAATTTATGATAGACAAAGGAATTTCTGTTATACTAGGTATCTAAACCAGTTTATGCATGTCAACTAATTTCTGGAGTCTATTGAACACCTTACAAGTTTAATGTTTCAGATAAACTATAAATGTGGTAGGTGACGCTAAAGTGGTTTAAACCCAGAAAGTCAATGAAATGAGTAAACCTTCTTGACCACCAGATTAACCTCATGAGACTCTCTACTAGATATTTGGAAGTTTAAAATATAAAAAAATTAATAGATAAATGGCATTTAACTAATTTAATGTTGGAATTAATAAGATAATTAGAATGATTTTGATTTACTTTACTATATTGTTTTTTTCTTTTATTTTAAGTGAAAATTTTTACAATTGTGTTACGTATTTATATTATATTAAATTTATTAACTTTTTAATTAACTATTCATGCAGAGTAATATGAGATATGCAGCGTGATTTAAACGCACACGAAAATGCCGGTAAAAAAGGATCGAACATAGTTACAGTTTTCTCCAACAATCTTTTTTCTTAATCTTCGTCCACAACGGTACAGGAGCCAAAACAATCCAACAGAAGCTGTATTAGGTTTGAATGAATGCTAATGGACACGACAACGAAAGGCCAGAAAAAACCGCCAACACAACAACAACGGCAGCAAGGAAACACAAAGGTTGAAGAGAAGAGAAAGCCAGTGTTTGTAAAAGTTGATCAACTGAAACCGGGAACCAAAGGTCACAATGTCATCGTACAAGTGTTGAAATCTGAAACCGTTGTGCCAAACTCGGATCGCTGAATGCCTTGTTGGTGATGACACTGCCACCATCCTCTTCACCGCTCGTAATGAGCAAGGTCCAAATTTTGCCATAGTTTACTGATTTGATGTGTGATTATATGACAATGGTGGGTGTATATATTGGGTGCAGTTAAGTTGATGAAAACAGAAACCACAGTAATTCTCCGGAATGAGAAGATTGACATGTTTAAGGGGTCGATGAGGCTAGCGGTTGACAAATGGGGCTATCACTGAACCTGCCAATTATGTAGTTAAAGAAGATAACAATCTGTCACGTGTTGAGTATGAATTGGTGAAAGTTGTTGAAGAATGATTGGAAATCAGCATTTTGATAACTCAACACACATGATGATTTGTTTAAGCTCCGTATTCCACTCCATGGGATATTTCTGTTGAAAATTTTGTTTCATGGCCGCCATCTTGTTCAGAAAGGAGTTTTTTCATTGTTATATTATGCTTGGCAAATGTTTTCCTATTGTCAAATTTTAGAAAATAAAACCTTTTTTTTATTTTTTTCTAATAACCATTAGTCCCTTGTTGAGTATCATCAACTGTTTGTGATAAACAAGTACAGTAACTCATTTAATTTGAATAGCATGTGCTAGTTGTTGTAGGAGCAGGGTTTTAAAGAGGCTGGGCCAACCAAGGAAAGGAATGTGCTTAAATTGGGTAAACTCAGTAGGAAGAGGGCTTGCTCCCATTGCTATTTGTTACAATAAAAATGGACTTGGAAATTTGAAAATCTTTTAAGCCATTGCCCACAACTTATAAAAATTAACTGTAAATAAGTTAATTGTGTAATATCTCAAACCTTTGGATCATATTATCAATTTCGTAAATCTGGGAGACGCTGGAAGACTTTAATATGATGTGAAGATGAATTTTATGGAATCATCATTATCATTGATTAGATTGATGTGATGCACAGAGTTTCACATCTTGCATGTCAGTAGGATTATTATCCTCAAATCAAATTCGCAACTGCGTATGCCCTCGCGCCAAATGAGAATTCACAAATAATTTGCTGGAATTTCGGGGAATTATATTTCTCATTTAGCAGTATTTTGATACCCAACCTCGCCCGGTTGATTGAACCGAGACCTTTGCCGAGTGGATTATCACTTTTAACTATTTACCATAAACCTTAGAATTATAGACGATAATCGATTGACATATGATAGTAATTATGTTGAGACTTTTAGAGAGAAAGTGTCAATGAGTTCAAAGGTGGTGAAGGGAGTAATTTCTAACGAATAAATCAACCGAAAAAGGTCAAAATCAATCGACCAAAATGACAATTTGTTGCCAACCATTGGCAAAGTGAACAAGGGAGGAGTGAGTTAGGTTTTGGTCTGGAGGCTGAGGGAAGTATTTTCGTGATGATGAAGAGTGTTGTCATCACTGGAAACAAGCTCTATTTGGTTTGGGTTGTCAATGCGGGTAATGATGTTTAAAGTGTTTTTGCAAGATTTCAAACTTATAAAGACTTACATGTAATTTTCAAGAGTATTTTTGTTGGTCAAACCAATTCAATCGATCAACCTAAGACCTGACCACTTTGTCGGATTTCACCCCGGATTGGTTATTAAAACATTGTGATTTAGGCTTGGTTCTTGCTCATCTAGTAAGTTTCGAATGCATATGGTTAGACAACACTCATCCAAACGACATCATATTGGAGAAATACATCCAGGGAAAAAGATAATTAAATTCTTGTTCTTATATCCGTAACTTGTATCAAAGAATTCTGTCAGGAAAGATGAGTCATAAAAATAAAATAGTCTATTTCCTCATGGTACCTAGTACCTACATCCAGATGCTCAAATGAAAACATCTGAGGAAGAACAATTGCTAAAAGAGGTGATAACAAAGTCTGATCTTATCGATGTAGACTACGATCAATGCACGGCATCCAAGAAACAACAATCATCCATCTACAATACAGAAAGCATAAAAATTACTCACTCAGGTAAAAGAAATGTGCAACTTAACCAAGAATTCAAACATCTAATTAACAAAAAATATTAATGAAATGTGAATTGATAGGAGGACATTAAATAGATCCATGACTGCAAAGAAAAACAAGAATGAGAGGCAACAGAGAAAGACACTAAGAATTCATCCAACGAATGCTGATCAAAGACCAAACAAATAGGACAACCTCGATCATATGAGATATTTTAGGATGAGGTGAAGAAGAACGCTAGGTTATGTTAATGTAAAAAGTATATTATTGGGTGTAGTCTCTAGCACAATCTTATGCAATCTGTCTGTATCCATGTACTACCCAGTTTCATTGCGCCTGACCATAATTGTCTTCCTCATTCTCTCCCTAACTGCATCCAAGTAAACACTCTCATTCAACTTGCAGTGAAATCGTTTAGCATCTCAATGTTCTCTTCACGGAAATGAAGAATGCTAAAGGATAAACAACTGCGACTTCCAACAAGAAAAAAATGCAAAATATAAAGCAAAGATACGTGATGAGAATATACCATTATCATAATTATAAACACCACTCTAATACACAGCTTATTTGAATCACAACAGTACTAAAAAGCACCCATTTATAACTTGGCTCTCCAAGTTCTTGAATAACAAAATTTTCTTTCAGCACCTTGTTAAACCTTCCTAACAGGCAAGAATCTCTAGAATCCTACTACAAAGCTTTATTTGGCCACCTTGTCTTAGAGCGCATGCACAAAACTTCTCCCGAACTCTTTGACATTCATCATACATCATCATTGCAATCTGAGTGAATAAAATAAATTAGTATGGTCCATATGTAGTTATACTGGTGAGAGTATGAATGAAAGGAAGACTTGGTTCATCTTCTGCCAAAAAATTGAAATACAGCATCTCATTGCCATTTATTATCTCTATGGTTAAATAAGAAGAAAATCACAAAATATAAAAAATACCGATCTGCAATAATTAAAAATTCCAGAAGTCACAGACAAACACACCACCATAACAAAGTGAAAAGGAAGTGCCAAATTTCATGCATAAGAGAAGCTGTTTTGCAAGAACAAGTGCCATTCCCATCCACAAATAAATTCCTATGACAAAAACCAGTTTGATGATTAAGACACTAACAAACACAAAGCAAGGCTAGGTGATTTAATTTAAATAATTGCAAAAGAAATGATGAATTAGGAGATCTACATAAAATTAAAAGTTCAACAGGATTTTTATTGGTCCTGCAACTCCATGAAATTATAATAAATAGTGTTCAAACTCTTGTCTTTCCACATTTTTATAGAACACAACTTCTCACTCAACCTAATCGAGGTACTCCACCTTTGTTGCTTGCTCTTCATCTAGTCTTGTCTTGCCCTACAAAAGGAGAAAGGATATGCATTCTTTCATTGTATGCTAGAGATAGAGTGATGGGATTACTTATCTTGGAAAAGAAAAGATATTTATACATATACAATAAAAGGGAAGAAGATTGTAAGATCTTTTGGCTTTTAACCTTAAGTAGTTCATGCTTCTTCTGGAAATTTTCTTTTTCCAGTATCAGCTTAGCTTCATTTAATTTACAATTTCTAAAATTTTAAACAAGTATTCTTGGGGAGGAGAATGATTGCAATGGATTAAATTACACCTTTTTGGTTGTAAATCCAAGATATGTTTCCTTATTGGCCACATTCAATTTTTCCTCTTGAAAGTGGCCAATTTCATGATATGTCAATATAACCTAATTACCTACACATGCAAATCGAGTATTCTCAAAGAGGAAATCTGGCTTCAGATTAGTTTACAATTTATAGATCCTGATCAAGCTCCATTGCCAAACAAGTCCTCATATAACTTTGATATTTACTACGTAACTAAAGAGAACACTCTTTACCGGTAACCAATAATAATGGACATATGCCCTTTCAGTCCAAGCATGGACTTCCCTAAATCAAGCACAAATTTCACTGGAACAAAACTAAGTAATGCCTCTCAAGACATAATGCAGCGCTAAATTTGAATAAATAATACACAAAGAAAATTTCAAATGACACCCTCCCATAACTCAAACTATTACATAAGCTCATCACACTAGCACGGTGACCAGTAGCACAGTAAATCCAGCTCACCACAGTTTACACACAAGTGAAATTAAACTAGATGAAAAAAACAAACAAAGTAAGGATAGTAAAAATTCACTACCAAATGAAAAAAGCTATCGACTAACACAAAACCAACAAACCAGATCACCAAGCTCAAACTCACAAGTGAAGATGAAATTCTAATGGGCAGAAGAAGAGTAAATTACCTTCAGGGGTCCAACCGTAGCTTCGACGAGAAACGGAGAGCATTGAAGTAAGCAATGCAGAGGCGGTGGCAGTGTGAAACGGCAGCAACGTTTCTACGCAGCAGCTCATCTCCACTGGGGACCTTTTATTAAACACAGATTAAACATGTTTCATTAGCTTTAGCCTCAATTTAACAAAAAAAAAAATCATAACATCAGTCTATTTAAGTTTGGTTTCTGAAATTTATTACCTGAAAATGCGATGAGAAAGGGGTTTCTGTTTGGAGATCCGAAAGGGAGAGGTAGTGGGTCTGGCATTGGGTTTGAGCCCAGCCGTTATTCTGGCGGAGACGGTGGCTCTGGTGGCGGCGGTGGACCGCAGGGCGGACCTGGCAGCGGCTACAGACATGGCTGTTTCAGTGTTTAGGGTTTTAAGTAGTTGGATTGTTTTCTCGAGGGTTTTAGGTTTGTTAAGGAGGGCTTTTCCACTTGCGTGTATATACTCGTACGAAGATTATGGAACACCACTATTTCTGGTTCTTTCGATTTGACACGTGCCACCTTCTTGTTTATTTATTTTTTAAAAAGTAATAGTATAATACCAACAACCTTTTTTCACAAACTTTCTCTTAAAACTCTGACGTGAAAGTTTGCAATTAATTAGTAGAACTCATGCAGATCCATATGGGATTCGTTGTGAACTAACTAATTACGAACTGTTACGTCAAAGTTATTTGAAAAAGTTTGTGCATAAATATAATTGACGTAGTATTATTCTTTTTTAAATACAATTAAATGGATCATTTTAAATTAAATTGCAAATCGGAAAAAGTTTTAATGGGATAAGCAAGACTATACTTGTCGATTCTGCACACCAATTCCCCATTTTGACTGCTGTGGGCGATGTGATCAGGCTGAGGACTACCCCGTCGCACTCTGCATCAGTTGTGATGGGGAGTGGATATGCAAGTGTAGACTTTCCCTGATTGAAATACGCTAATAAGGGCATTCTTTATGAAATACAGCAAAAGCAATATAGCCCGAGTACAAAATGTTATTCCAAATGGTGTGAACCAGCCAATTAAAGAGAAAAACTAGAGAGTTACAATGAATCACTAATTTCTGAAAACAGAAGATGGCTGAAGCCATGAATGTTTATTCTGAAGATTGATTATTTGGTGTGATGATGATTAATTTCTTGGTTTGCTCCGGCTTCGGCTCATCTTTAGTAGAAAAGGAATGCAAATTCCAGTTGATGTATCAACCCCATGTTGATGTGGTTTAGTCATATTGATATTGATATTGGAGCATGTTCCACCTCTTACTGATATTTTCTGATTACCCTCTTCAAAATGGAATGCATTTGGGAAGTACAAGCTTCTTCTTCTATCGCCTGCCTTTAATCCGATTAGTTTGCCTAGTGATACACTATGGTCTTGGAAGAATGATGCTGTGGACTGCCATTGCCAACACCACATTTTCTTCAGCGTTCTGCATTATTTATGTCTTTTCAAGCTAAAAAACATTTCAACACAAAACTTACCTCAGTGTCAAGGTTGGAGGATGATATTGAGGAGAAACTGATTGATCGCATTTGAATGGAGTAAGGTTGATCTACTGCTGCCGGAGCTGCCTGCTGTCTGCTCTCCATCACTTCAAGTCTTGCGTTCATAATCTCAAGCCCAAATGGCCATCCCTTCGAGATCTCATGCTCCTGGGAATTAACTGTCATCAATTCTCTTGTATAAAGCCTCAAATTTTATGATATATGCAATACTTGCTCAAGCAATATCTCACACTACATTCAATGGAAATTTTCGACCATAATTATTGGAGGTTATACTAGGCAGTTGTTGTGAACTACTGGATAGAAAAAAGGCTGAAATTTTCGGATGAAGATTAGGTAATCCTTGTATGACTGCCTGAATAATGAAGTCAACACAAATCTATCTATTGAAATTTGAGAGTATTATAAAAAGGGTTTTTCCTATTATAATATTGTATAACGAAAACTCCACCATTGCCACAGAAAACAACAATCTGCATTGAAATTTCTGAGAATATTATATATGATTTCACCATTTCCCAAGTTGAGATATGGGTTGATGGCAATCTGGCAATATACCAACTGTTACTTAGCTTCCCGATGGGAGTAAAGAGCATTGTTTCTGTGTCTCGCATGTTCACTCTAAATCCCTGATGAGTTATCTGATGTTACAGTTATTAATGATTTCTATCAGGATATTTCACAGTTAATTAATCAAGAAAACTCCTAATGAAGCGCCGGAATTCACACAGTTTAACCTTCATCTATTACCTCCCAAATTTTCATATGAAATTTGGTTTACAGCCTTGAACGTGATCAAAATCCTTCGGAAACTATTCAGATACGGGTAGTTGGAAAACAACCGACAAACTTTGCCTATCTGGGATCACCAAACATTAGAGAAGAACAAAAACTTTTCCACAGTCCCATACTCAACAGATTTTAAGCGTATCTCTGAAGATTATTATCACAAAACAACAATAGCAATGGAACCCATGAATGACCAAATAATAATTCATTAGATACTACCCAAATTAGAAATCATTCCTCTGTGAACTCGTGCATTTTGAACATAATCAAACAGTGACAGTAGTCAGCACAGCCACAAAGAGAGAAGAGATCAATTCATATTCTTAAACAAAGTACAGTAGATTACGTGTTTGGTACTGAACATCCCCAGAAACTAATTTTTTCATGGTTTTACACTCAAATAATAACAAAATAAACACAATAACTTGCAGTCACATGATGAACAGAAACAACAACACAAGAACAGGGAAATGACTAATACCTGAGTGGCCATGGTCTGTCAAAACAGTCTCCTCCACAAAGAAGCAAAATTATGGAAAGTGGTGTAGGTGATCACAGAAATTCCACATAATAAGGAAGAAATTTAAGTTTTTAGGAAGACCACATTTTTGGGTAATCACTATGGAATTCTTCCTTAAACATGAGACCATTAATGTTTCTGGGTCCCATGCGGGTGTTCACCTATACAAATCACAACTAGTTTTTGTACTTTGATTATTTTATTAACAACTGATAACCACAAGTGTTCAGACACAATAACTACACTTTAACCGTTAATTTACCGCCATATTATATATTTTCAAAAACTCCTTTCAACTCCAATTAAGCCAACCAAGAAAAAATATATAAAAAATGAATAAAATTTCATGTTCTTGATATTTATAAATCACAGGGCACATTATTTTGTAAATTGACTGGTGTCATAAATGAAAGTAGGAGGTGATTTGTCATATCATGGGGGTAATTTAGCAACAATAAAAGCTTTGTTGTTGAATCATTAAGACCCTGAAATGAACGTAAGAGCGCTCTTCCATCAAACTGAAAATCAAAGTGTGATTCTTGTGTCTACATACAAAAGCAACAATAATAGGTCCAAAAAGAACAAGAGGACAAGGAGAATAGTAATGTTAAGGACAATGATTTAGAGGTTTTCTGGTTGTTTATTGGAAAAAAAAAGAAAAACTGATGAAGATTCTGTGAAGGTTATGACATTCTTTGAAAACAAATGCAAAATACAAAAGAAAATAAAGAAAATGTACTAGCCAATAAGGAGTTTTTTTTTTAACAAGTCCGGGTCAGCTTACACGCACCTTAACTAATCCTCAGAGTCTATTAAACACTCTACAAGTCCAAAGGACCATGTAAACCACAATGTTACTATAGTAGATGGTCTCAAGGTTTTGAATCAAAGAACTCAAGAAAGAGAGTAAACCTCTTTGGCCGTCAAACCAACCCCTTGGGTAATAAAGCCTTCCTGTTCGATGACTTTATGTCATTCAATTTGAAGATAGAAGTGGGGTGACAGTTGTAACTTGAAATTAGCTGGTATACCTTGATAACCACATAGTTTTTTTTTTTTTTTTTAATTTATAACTGAGAGTGTCTAAGTTAGTTATGCATACTTCAACTAATCTCTCAGTATCTTAGAATTATCGGCTAGATAAAAGCTCTAATAACCATTTTTATTAGCAATAAAAAAGGAACTCGAACTCACAACCTCTTGAATAATACATTCAAAAGTCCTTATCGAACCACTCGGTTACTCAGAGGTTGGTTATAATCATACAGTTTTTCTTTAGAGAAATGAATTATTTCACCTAAAAAGTTAGCATTATGATTGTAAAATCACTTAGAATGTGGATATGGAATATTAATTTTTATAATTTAGAAGAATTTTATTGAGTTAAAAGTATTGAATTTGACAGGAGGTAATAAATGGAGCGTAAAACGCAAAAAAAATTATAGTTATGGGTTAGCTTGCCAACTCCCGGACGATGCCGACTCGCCTCCTTCGTAATCATAAACTTCAAACGATACGGCACTCCAACTCCACAACAAATATATTGTATTCTTCACGATAATGGTAACAATCCAGTGTTGCAAAGTTCAAGAACGTAGTCAAATGGAGGCCGTTGGATTTGATTGTTAAATCATGTGATTTACTTACAACAATTGTATGCCAAATGATTAATTTTAGCAAAATCATATTATGAGGAGATAACTTGGGCTAGTTTTAGTGTTATTTCTTACAAATTTAACACGATGACATAAAATTAATCTTAAGCCCATACATGCTTGAATCTTGGGCCTATTTGAAATCCCACTTCTATTTTCTCAATTGGGCCTTACTCAACTGTTGGACCCTCTTTCACAAACTCTAGATTGAAAAGTTTTTGACATTTAGATTTGCTTCCTTTATCTCATTATTTCAATAAAGCAAATAAGCTCAACCTAACAATGCTATGCCATTTGTAAATAGTAATTGCTTACACAATATGTTGAAACTTGGACCGACAATAAAATAAAATACAAGTATTTTCCTAAAAAAATATGATCACTTGTTTTGCAGTGGACTTTTCGACAACTAGATTTGTGCCACTTTTCCTTACACCATGCTAGGATCTGACGATTAAGCTCACTTCATGTGTTGCTCTTACAGCAAATGACTTCATCAGCAAAATTATCAGTATTAAGTATGGGTGTTCTGTTTTACGCATGAGCGTGCCTGACTTAAATCCAGATTACGGAGATTATGCATGTAATCCACCCCGTAATAACCACTCCCAACCACTGTCAAATGGTGTATAAAAACTAAAAAAGAGAAATCACCTCCATTTTGTGAGATCGACCATTTACACAAGAACAAAAACCCACTTAGAAAGAGTTTATCATCGTTTTTACGTGTTTTATTTATAATTAGTCTGAGTGTAAAACAAATACAAAACAATAACATAACAGTGGACGTATGCTTGATTCTAACTCGTCGAATCACTTTAAAAATTGGTTTTGCCCTTTCATTATCTATTTTCTAATTTGTTCTTAATTGATTATTCAGAACCACGCACACATCCTACCCAATCCTGCCAAGGTCGATTGGGTATCTCTATCTCTGGTTGTTGCATTTTCACGTCACAACACAGCTTTTGACTTGAGATTTTCGAAATGATCAATAATAGTTATGTGAAATCGGTATCTGGTCACCAATATACCCTTGGTTTGGTGGTTAAAATAAAATAATTTCAGTGCAAAAAGAGAATGAATGCAGGTGATATATTGGTAGCCAAAAATCGGGTTGGGTCCCAAACTTTTGTGTTAGCATGTGCCTTATAAACATCAACCAAGTCTCGGTTTTGTTAGTTAAGTTAGAGCAACTAGGTACTTGTAACTAGTTTTTATTAAGACTTAAATTAGGTTAGAAATAAATGTCCAAAATGATTACTTCAAACCGCTTTAGTAAAACCAACCTTACATACATGTAATTTCTTATTTGGTAAATAATCATAATTAACTCGGGTGAAATTGGATCAAGAAAGAGATTACTTATGAGATGATTAATTTCTTTTAGTTACTCAACTAACTAATTAAATCATTCCTTTTTATTTTATGATGTAATATCATTTCCAACTTAAACCAAACCGAAAGCCACCTACTTCTTAGATAGGTATCCAAGAGCAGTTCAATTTTGAATTATGGGCTTCTAAGTAGGTAGTAATTTAATTTCATTCACCCACGATCCAGTTAATTCATTGACAAAAGCTCAACCTTTTTTATTAATTTCTACATGTGTATTTACTATAAACTTATTTAAACAACAAATGCCCACATTCAACGCCATCATCAATGCTTTTACAATTATATGTTTATATTTGCTGGAACAATTTCTGGTTTTGGTGAATTGGCCTACGAAAATGCTACACTCACAACCCTGACGTGACATTTTGCAATTGGTTAGCTCGTAATAAGTCTCATCTGATAAATTGCTACTGACTGATTGCAAGTTGTCACGTCGAATTTATGAGAGAAAGTTTGTGATAAAAAGTTGTGGGTGTAGCATTACATGTGATAACCACCATTGGGTGACTTGAAGGTAAAAGAGCAAAAGGAGGTTTCATGAGCTCTTAAGTTCGAGTCTGCGTAGACACTAATAAAGGTGACCACTAAGACTCTTACGTGACCGATAGTTTTAAGGCTCTAGAAGATTAGTTGAGATGCATGCAAATTAACCTGAACAAGTGATAAAAAAGAGGAAAAAAACTGCATGTGACTACTAGGCCAATCAATATCAAATAAGGTCCCATTTTAGTTTCATTTTCGAGCCCATTAAAGTTTTTATTTATTTATTTATGTCAGCTGGAACCGAAAGTAGAAACCTAACCTTGAGAACTACCTTTGACAATGTTTAACATTAGCATATATTATAATAAACTATTATTTTCAATAAAATTAGGCAAGATTTTGATTTCTCAATTTCACCTGATCGTCATTAACCTCTTAACTAATCAGTACTCTTCCTTAATCTTAGGTATTGCTTACATTTTGACCTCAATTTATTGCAAAAGAACAAATTTTCCCCTTGGGTTTTGGAAACACTCAATGTTACCCCTATTTTTCGAATTCAAATGTTAAAACTTAACTGTAAAAAAGTAATCTTGTCAATTCATAATGTTAGATTATGTTTCCTCTCTCTATAACCTTGCTTATGTAAAGTGAATTGATAAGATTACTTTTTCACAGTTAAATTTTAATGCCTAAATCCCGAAACGAACGGAGCCAGGTTCTTTCACAATAGATTGGGGCCACAATGTCATTCACCCTATCTGTATTTGGCTTAGGAAGTGTTTGGACCGCGGAGTTGTCAAAAGTCGAAAGGAAAGACCATAAAAGGTAATTGAAGGCATAAATAAAGTTGAAAATAAGGGCAAGTCAGTCCGTCAATCACGGAGAGTCGGGAGACATTCCAATTAATTTAACTTCTTTTTTCTTTCAATTTATTTTTGAAATTTAACCCCTTTAATACTTCATATGAAAATTAAAAGAAATTGGAGGGTGACCCTACTTCTATTATGTTTTGATAACGTGGCAGTGGATGCCAGTGAGTGACCAACCAATTCACTCTTTAATTAATCTCTTTCCCTTGATGGTCCAACCTTCAGAAAAAACTAGCTACATTATTGATATTGACTTCGATCTGAATTTGACTTTGGTGATGTGGAAAAGGGACGATAAACAAAAAGGATGATTCTGGCTCCATCCCATTGAGTTTGTGTGTATGGTAGCTCAGATTTAGGCATGTGGGATGTGGCTCATGTTTAAATTTTGGTAACTGAACTGTTCAGACCAGTTTGTAAACACTTCAACATAATTTTTAGAGTCTGTTAAATCAGGCAAATCACGATATTATTGTGGTAGGTGATTCTAAAATTTTGAACTCAAAGACTTAAATAAATCAGGTAAACCTGCTTGATTCCTAAATCAATCTCGTGGGATTCATGCTGCTGTGGTTTGTTGAGGTGTTTAGGTGAAGGTGAACTAGGTCTATGTAGTTGTTAAAAAGTTAGTAGGACTGAGCTGCCTACTAAAAATTATTTTCAGATTTTGATGTATAATTTAATACACATACTCAATATCAGTACAATTCTGTGGTCACAATAAATGTATATTAAACCTTTACACCAGCGCAGTTTGGTGATCGTGATAAAATTCTCAGCCTGTTGCAACGCGCATTTGGAGTATCTTCAAACTGTTCTGAGAATTTTGATAAACATAAAGTGTCTTCTATCACATAATCAAAGCAGCATGTCTTGGAGCTTGACATTTCGGGCATTGACTTTTTGAGGAGCATTTTAATTGGGGTTGCCCTTTGCTTTGAAGTCTTTTATTTCTTAGTATTAATTAAGCAAGATTTTCTACGCATGTTGATCATCTGTAATCTCTGTAGATCAACATGCATTATAAGAGAGTTCAGTGGAAATTAATGAAAAAAATATGATCATCACCTCGCTGAACGAGAGCTATCCAATCTTAATAAACAGTTTCAAGTGGAGGTTCAATCAATCGGTGCCCAACAAAAAGCACTAAGAAGAAAGACGAAAGTCCAGTTTGCAAGTGGGCAACGCATGATTTTGATGCGTAAGATGGAGATAGCTGGGGCTTAATTTGTAGTTAAAATCAAATTAATTTTTTTTAATGACTGAAGTGAGGCTCACCTAAATTAATCTTTTAAGACCTTGAAACCATCAGTCGAGTAAGAGTTTCAGTGACCATCTTTATTAACACCCGAGAAGAGACTCGAACTCAAGACCTCTTAAATAATATACCTGTCCCTATCCAATCACTATGTCCCCCAGGAGTTGGTTAGGTAAAATCAAATTAATGTAGGATTGCCGGCATGATATCTTCTGAGTTATCCAGGAGTTTCATCTGGTCCCGAATTTGAAAGTAATATTGGACCCATATACCGCAAAAGCAACTCACGTACCCGATACTCCTTCTTCCATATTATGAAATGTTGTTACTTTAATCATTAAATGTTTCCGAAAATAATATCATCATCATCATCTTATTCTATATTAACTTTAGCCCCTTTTATTAATGGACGACAATTATATATATACATACATTCATAGATGAAATCGCATATAAATTGCCGGCAATTCTGTATTTTTCAGATCTTATATGGTGGGCTATAATAATGCAGGAACGTGAAAGCTTTGTATACAATATACATATTATTAAATTCATGAACGAAATCAAACAAAACATACATGTTCTCATACCTTAGCTTTTAAGACGATGATGATGATGATGATGATGACAACTACTATGCAAAACCGAAAACAAGATCACAAGACCCCAATAATTAAATCATTCTTTAATTCTTTAAACTCTTTTAATTATCCTGATAAACAACTTAACTTAGAAGCTAATCAAACACCATTGCTGGAATTGACGCGCGATACTTTATGTGTAGACTACACGAACATCGATCGACCGATCAATCTTGGAGCTCATCAAACTCATACTGGTTCTGGTTGTTTTCCATGGAGTTATTGTACTCGTAAGTCTTCTCATTGTTGTTGCTATTGTAACTCCGACTGTTGTACTGATTCCCTGAATTCTGATACTGATTCGGATAATAATTATTCTTCTCATTCTGAACGTCGTAATAATACTTCCCATTCTCCAAAAACCTCGTGTCACTCATGCCTAGCTTCTCACCATTGTTGCCGCCATTATTGTAGTAGTTATTGCTGTTCTTGTTCTGGTTAGCCAAGCTGGTGTAGCCATTCTCCTGGTACTTCGAGCCGCCCATGTTGTCGGGCTTCGTCCAAAAAGCATTCTTGTTGTAGTAATAATTGTTGTCGTTATTGTGTCCACGGTAGTTGTTGTTGTTGTTGTTGTAGCTTCCTTGGGTTTGAGATTGGGTAGTGTACGGTACATAATTTTCCGCGGCGGAGGTGATGGGGGTGGTGTAGGGTTCATAACTCCCAGTCCACCTCCAGCCTCATCACATCCCGAGTATGGAGAGACCGAGCATCAACGGTCTCAACCACCACCCTCATCACATCCCAAGTATAAATGAGCTGGTGTAGGGTTCATTATTTGGTCTGGTGGTAGTGGGCGTAGTGTAGGGCTCATAGGTACCGCCGCTGTGGGTGGTGGGGGTGGTGTAGGGTTCATATTTTTGTGAAGCGGAGGTGGTGGGGGTGGTGTAGGGTTCATATTTTTGTGAAGCGGAGGTGGTGGGGGTGTTGTAGGGTTCATATTTTTGTGAAGCGGAGGTGGTGGGAGGGAACTGACCGGTTTCGTGGCCGTATAATCCGTAGCCGTTTTCAGTCTCCGGGATAAAAGTTGGTTCTTGCTGTTGTTTACCGAGAGTGTGCTGTTGTTGTTCCTGATAGTTGAGCGTTGTCTTTTGATTAGTCTCCGGGACAAAGTTGGGCTCTTGTTGCTGTTTGTTCAGGTTCTGTTCTTGTGTGTTGGGGAGTGTGGTCTCCTGAACATTGTTGTTGTTGTTGTTGGAAGTGCTGGGGACTTTGCTAAAGAACTGGCTTTCTCTGGCATGAATCTGCAGAGAGATGGAGAGTGTTAAGAGCAAAAGGAAAGAGAAGAGCTTAAGAGCCATGACCATGGGTGAGTGAATGTGTTGATTGATGGTAGCGAGGGAAAAGCTATGGAGACTGGATGTTTATATAGAATATATATTTACCTATTGTCTCTGAATTTTCAACTCATTAGTTGGAAACGGGTAATGATTGTGGTCCATATGTTAAAAACAGTGAAACTCTTTCTTCTTGTTTCTTTGCTCATCATATTATCGAGTCTTTTAAGAAGTATCTTTTTGGGGCTGCAGTTCACTTTATGTGTAATTCGCCACCTAAACGACATCATTTTGTGTACATTCTAAGCATACAATATCTAATTAAAGGTAGCAAAGAATCCCGAGGTAATTAATTAATCGAATAATAAAAAATAAAAAAATGTTAAAACTTGGAGGATAAGGTTAAAATAGGAAATTGAAAAGAATGGGAAGAAAAAGGGGAGGAGGAGTGTAATAATGCGTGGATTGAGGAGTGGGTGGGGACGTACAAATAATGGCGTTTAGTGCACACAGCATGTGCCCCCCTCTATTCTTTGTCTAACATATTTACATACCTAACCTTTTACTTCTCCCAATTTCATGGGCCCCCCCTTCCTCGATTCGCCATGATCAACGCTCAAATTCATCATCCTCTATATGTTTCCACATTTTTATTTACATCATATACATTATCAACTAATTCCCTCCACCCAATAACTCTTCATAAATTCCATTTTCTAATGTTATATGTATTTTAGACCCTTTAAATTTACCCTAATTAAATGATCGGGATTATTTCATCTTCCCCTTGTTTCGTATTAATTCATCTACTTTATTTTATCATGGTTTTTCATAATTTTTGTTTTTGATAATTATAAGGGGTGTTTTAATACTTTTTGAACAAAATAGATGTTGATGCGATAATTAGTATCAACCAGAGGTACCCAGCCGGCCTCGAAGGGAATCGGGCAAGATGTGCATGTGGTTACTGGTAATCGGTGAGGTCGTTAAAATGACGTAATAAAGTAAAGAACAAAAGAGATATTATAATGGTTCAGCGGTATAGAAACCAAACCTACATCCACTATCATGTTAATATTACAAGATGTTACAAGGTTTAATGAGATTACAAAGGGACAATCCTGAGATTAAAGGCAGGCAATTAGCTCTCGCGACCTATTCTCTCTAAAAAGATCAATGTGTTTATCTTTTGAACTTTACTAATACTAGAATCCTCTGAAACAGAGGCTGTAGACTCATTTTATACCCATCTAGTCTGACAATGGTTGAGAGTAGGTGTTACAGGGTTACTTACACGCATAATCTCCTTAATTAGTATATGAGTCAATAATTCCCATGTTTGTGTCAGACCGACCCATACTAATGATAGTTTAACCTATACTTATGACAGTAATCACCTTATGAAGGAAGGCAAGGGGCAGCAGGACGACACATGGGACGATCCTAATCTTCGAGCTTTGATGTATCTTAGGGATATAAGACACAAATCTGACTATCACATAATTAGGCATAACAATAGATAAGTTATGGTACTCTTCTCACATAAGTAAAATAAAATAAACCTTTAAATTGCCCTTAATTATCAAATCTCAAACATTTATATAAATTATAAATAAAAAGATTAATTAATTTGAATTGAGTATGTTGAGTTAGAGATATGACGAATTTCCTTATCCGTATATTAATGGAGTACCTTGAGTTTTACGCAAGAGACGGAGAGAGTCAGAAAATGAAGATTTTATAGTGATCCTCAAACAAGTAGTTAAAAAGCTTCATTATTTATAATAATTGAAGATTCAATCTGAAATTGATAGGGTGACAGACACTATTATCACTGCTAAATTATTGGTACATAAATTTGGTAATTTAATTATATGGGTTGGGTTGGGTTGGGTTGGCATATTTATTCAGTTGCTCAATTAAACCATTTATTGTTTTTATAGAATTGTAATAACAAGTGCAAATAGTTTCTTTAATTTAAATTATGGGTTTTAAAAAAATAGGTGAGATAGGTGGAGACCATGGAATGGATAAAACCAACTACAAAAAACCATTTAATGCCATTGTATTTATTATACTTATATCATTATTCATAAAACCATTTACCAAGTTATGTTAAATTTTTTTTTTTTTTTTTAAAGACCAAAGTTATTTGAACGACTCTAAAACTATTAACCGGATAAAAACTCTAATGACTACCCCTATTAGCAATCGAGAAGAAGCTTGAACTCAAAACCTCTTAAGTAATATTGTAATACATTTAAGAGTCTCTATCGAACCAGTCAACCACCCAAAAGTAGTTGCATTAATTTCTTTTGTTGGTGCATGCAGTAACAACATCATAACACAAGCAACCACCCAACTAGATTTTCATTATAAAATTTCACTATGCAATTTGCCAGTTAATTAAATATTCATCCATACCCACTTCCTCATTTTAATTTCATCACCTAATGTTTCCTTAAATTTATGAATATGATTGGCGCCATGGCTCAAGCAAGAAGTTAAGGAAGACAGAACAGGCAAAGAAAATGTTAAGGTCAAAAGAGAAAAAGCAAAAGAAGCTTCCACATTTATAAAACTCAAGCTTTTTTCTATAACTTATGATGACATACGCATCTCTCAATTGGCAAAATACCACTTTTCCCACCTATATTTAGGCATTTTCTGTGTAACTTGACTAGTCTAAAGCAATTAAATCTTCAAGAACTAAAGTTGTTAAAACCTTCAAGAAGCTCCAAATGGGTTTCATAATAAAATTTCCTGGAAAGAGCGCAATGGTGTCGTTATAGTAGCTGGTTATTACAGAATTTTTTTTAGAAAATGTACAACCAAAATCTAAGGCTTTTAAGTATAGCTAGCGGAAAGTTTGGCATTAAGGAAGGAAGTTGAATGCACGAGCTGAGTCTCATCCCCGTCCCCGTCCCCGTCCCCATCCCCATCCCCATCCCCATCAATAGTTGGATTTAGTAGTTTTTTGTATATTGATTAATAAATGGTTGGCCAAGTACCCCTAAAAAGTGAAAACCAAAAAAATCAAATAAAAATAGAGCTATGAAGAATTATGTTCACTCATAGTGCTTTTTTGTCAACGTTTGTGCTCAACCAATCTGCCAAATTTTTTTTTTTTTTTCTTTTATTTGATTCGTCTTCTTTATTGGGTAAACAGTTTTTTCTTCCGTGATTAGTGCAAGGGCAATTTCCAGCCTCTTTCAAAGTTTTTATTTGCTTTGCCGAGTAGTTTGCACTTTGCAGTTCCCTATCCGATGACAAAGCAAAAGTTAAAATTAAAGGGAAAATAACAGGGGAAAAGGTTTCCTAAGCCTTTTGTTGTTTTAAATTGGGGCATATTAGTACGGTCTTTGTTTTCTTTTTACTTTGGATTCATTTCTGTCTACAATTAATATCATCTCCTAGATTTAAATAATCTGCGATCTGTCAAATTTAAATGTGCTTTTAGCCTTGGATTTTATTACATATAAAGTTAAATATATCATATTATTCAAACCTAAGTAATGAATTGGTCATTTATCTTCTATTTTTAAATACTTTTTTTGGTGATCGAAGGTATTCGAACAAGTTTATACGCACTTTAACTAATCTTTTGAGATCCTAAAGTGAACATTAGATAAATCTCTTCAATAATCACCCTTACTAGGAAAGCTCAAACTCAAGAATCGGATTTTTAATTTATTTTGGGTTTAAGCTGCAAGCAAGCCCATCAAATTGTTAATGAAACCCTAGCTTTTTGAGCATCTAATGCAACCCAAATGCCGATCAAAAGGTCAATGATGGGCAAATTAGCTCTAGCTGGTATCGAAGTCAAGAGCAGATGTTCACTCTCTAATGTAGCATAGCATCCAACACAATTATCCATGAAAATCAAAATTTAATACTAAAACCAGCCAAAATAAAGCCTGTAATTGAGATAGCGTACAGCATTACAATTTAATTTACACAAACTAAAGAAAATCATCTCAAGAATCATCGACAGGAAATGGGTTCCAAAGCAAAAGTGAGAACAACAAAAGATTAGGTAATAAAGTAGGAATCAAAGGATTCACATCAGTTCCAAGGCGTTTCCTTCTAAGTCTCATCCTAACGTACTCTCTTTTCTGCGCATCACCCCACTGTGCTTCCTCTACGCCCTTAGAAAGAATCAAAGGTGGAGGCTGTTGGTAGGGACACTTGGACCTCCAAGAAGTGTGAGGAAGCCCAAATCTTGAGACCCTTTTGAGGAAAAGAGAGAAGCCCCACCTCAGAAGAAGAGGAGGGAAGGTGAGTTTGTTGCAGAGGATAGGAGGATAATCCCAGTTGATGTAGCAAGGTATTTGAGTGGAGATGAAGAACTGTGAGTAGAGTGATGGTGAGGTTGTGGGGCTGGTTAAGATGTGGGTTAAAGCTTGCAGTTTCTGTTCCCATGTCGTGTCATCCATTATCTCATTCAATGGGCTGAGGTTCAAAGGGTCTGATAATAGTATCAGAAACGTATATATTTATTTTTCGCAAAATTATCTTCTGTCCACACAGAAAATAGCAACTTTTTTGGTTATTAAATTTCGCATGACAATGAATACAACACTGACCTTGGAAGATAAACTTGGAAATTTATTGTTTATGTTAGTCCATTGTTAAAGGTTTTTTATGACCTTTTCTTTCTAGGGTTAATGCCTGAACTTAAATGAAAATCCAGTTATATTTGGAGGAATGGAAAGCTACTCTTCGTTTTGCAATTCGTGGGCCAGACTGCCCCGACGATTGTTCCTAATTAATCCGAAAATGTATATATAATGAAAGCTAAAACACATTAAGCTAGACATTGGGACAAAGTATCCAAAGGAGTCTCCTCAAACACTAATAAGGATGATCATCGAAGGGATTTATCCGATTGTTTACTTTAAAGTCTTGGAGAATTAGTTAAGATGTGTACAAACTGACCGAGACACCCCTGATCACTCAAAAAATTAAAAAAAAAATGAAAAAAGTTACAGAGAATAATAAGTGTGTTACAAAGCTGAGAAGAAAATTAAAAATTCTATGTAAACCATATGCAAAAAATCCGACAAGTTTTCTCAATTTTGTATACCTGTAACATTTTGATTACCCGGGCAAATATCATAAACCTATCATCTCCAAAACTAAAACTAATACAGGAAACGATTATATTCATCTGAGCCAGGCAACAAGTCTATCCAAAATTAAGAAAGAAGACATTGTCAGTTGTCTCCCAGAATCATCAACAAAGAAACTTATGCCATGGGCAGCCACCAAAACAGTAATCATACATGTTAACTGGTATGACGACGGGACCAAGGGCTAGGCAGTGACCATCGAGTCAGCTATTCTTTTGCCTTCAACTGAAAAGAAAATGAAGACTAGTTTGGATAATATACTCGTCTTCATGAAATAGGAAGTTGGCTTTTTAAAAGCGGAAAACTAGCCTAACTTTGATGAGAGCAGCATCCAAGCAGTCAATATTGGGAGAGTGATTAATGCAGAAGCCTGGAATTTCAGAATTTTGTCAGTATGACTGGTGCGAAGAAAAAAATGGAATGTGGTTGCATAACACAAAAAAGTTAGCAAATGAGCAATATAAAGAGCATACCACAAAAAATACGAGTTCCTTATTGACAAGAGCAGCAGTCAATTCATTCTTTTCCATTTCTTGTCTGATTAATCCTTGCAACTGCAGATAAAAAGATAAGAGTCAAATCCAAGATCATGGAGGTTTCCAGGCAATGCTGAATATTGGGGCTGCTTTTCTTAGACTTCTTGTGGTCCAGGCAATTTAGTGTCTGACAACATACTGTAACTAGTAACTTGTATCTGTCAGTTCAGAAACCTGAGTAATTCTTTTCAATTAATCATCAAACAATACAGAACCAACTTAATAAGGAAATTGAGTTATTCTGCTTGCATTACATTCAAAATTTTCTCTGAACAAAACTTCTTGCTCTGATACAATGAAAAATGGCACTCCATAATTTGTTACAAAAGAATGAAGCTAATGTTCATCGTTTAGGACAGACTTAAGTTACCATCAGTGCAATATATATATTCTTGTGGTACAAGAATAAAAGGAAATTAGTTATCAATAAAATTCTGTGAACTCCACATAGATGTTTATAGATAGAAATCACCAGCGTAGACAAAAAAGATAAAAAAGAAACATGGTTTAAGCCTTTATCCAGTACCAATCCCAATGATTAGTCGCTTGTATGGTTTTCATGTTCTTATGGAATTGGAAGATTGGAAGCCTACTCTTAATCAATCCCATATAGATGTCTACAAGATAGCAAAGTAAAAAAGAAATTATCTAACCCATCACAAGGAGAAAATGAGAGGTTGCAATCATTCTAAAATAAAGAGAACTACCACTCACACAAAGTGTCCCAAAGTTACTGATTCTGAGATTGGAAAAGACCACATGGCCTTTGAACATCAGTCTCTGCAACACTACATGGTTTGAGAGATTGCTGAATGAGGTAAAGTAGTGAAGAACATTGCTCTGCAATCTTGCAGTTAGTCTTTCTCATACTTCTGTGATTTACAGTTTAGGACGGTGGAAGAGACTATCATAGAAGAGAAAGAATCTGTGCCTTCAAGATAAGGTCAAAAATTCAACATGGAAACAAAACTCGACTTTTTACATAAAAGAAAAACTTTCATCACAAATTTTTTATCTTATCCAGGAACACACTTTTTAGAATATTCAAATTATAGCAATGAAGGCAAAATTTCTATCCCAATGAACTACTTTGTGCACAACAAACGAGAAAACTTGCAAGTACAAACCTCATGGTGAAACTTCTTAAAACCTGAAAAGAATCTCTTAAATTGTTGTTCCGCTTTAGAGACATAAGACCTCAAAGTAGACCCTCCACCAGAAAAGTAAGAATCAAGTATGCCCAACAACTTTGGAAGATGTTTTTCAGAAACGTCATTGACAAACTATCACATAAAGAAGTAGTTTGGTTAAGACTTACATAAAAAATGAGTATATGTAAAAATAAGAACATGCTACCAATTATAAAAAATACAGAAACTACAACTACCAATAATTTTACTGATACTTTAAAAAAATTCAGAACCGAAATTAACAAGAGAGATCAATATCTGCATAAATTTCTAACTTATCAAAATTACCTTTAAGAATGTGCATCCAGTAACCCTCAGTTTCCTTTGGATGTTAAGTGCTCTCATCTAAAAGAGAAACAGTAACAACAATATTAATAATTGATTCATTCATGACATCAACAGAGACCACAGCAGCCTTTACTTTAGATCCTGAAAAATTGAACATATGATTGAAATCATTTTGGAGGACTATACTTCTGTCATATGGAGAGCCTGCTCAAGATGTTGCACTTGAATCCACTGTTCATTAACAATGTCTGCCATCTAAAATTAAAGTAAAAAACAAAAAAGTTCTTCAATGAACTTAATAATAGAAAATTATACTTGTTACAAAATTTAAAACTACATTTCAAACAGCATAAAAATACCATTCATGACTACACCTCATTCAACCTCAAGCAAGATCATCACTATAAAAATGAACCAGTACAACAAGAAGCTGTCTCTACAAAGCCCGGTGCCATTACATAAAAAGAATAAGGATAAAGAAAAAAAGGATTGAACCTTTTCAACTTGTGAAGTAACCTCTTCCAATCTATCCTCAGCATCCTGTGCTTTAGATTCTAAAATGTGAAGATCAAAATTGTTCTGTCTGGAAACAGCCCATAGCAGTCGTACCTAGGCATCAAAAAAGCCTACTTTTCAAATTAGATAAAAGTTCAAATAACAATAAACACATTATTATATATGCTAAAATGTATTGGAAAATACAACAGAAAGCCAATTTTCATTATACATAACAATGACCAACCTCTTCTTCTAATGCAGCAACCCTTTCCTCGGTTCGTGATGAGTCATGCTGCAAATTAATGTTTATATAAGATCATGTTATACAATATATTTGAGGAACAATTTATAAGGAAAATAATAGTCAAATTTAACAGCAACAAGAGATTGGTAAAGTGAATCTTGAGTTAGAATTCTAGCAGAATCCTTTACAATCTAAGTATGTCTTTGGTATGGATTCTAAAATAGCCAAAAAGCTTTCTTAAAGCAAGAAGCTGTTTTTCAATATTATTAATTGTTTTGTTGCGTTTCAGAAAATAATATTTTTTTAGTTCCAACGAAACTCATTTACTCTGTTACTTGAAGTTCAAACCAAATAGAAGTTATATGAGAAGGTTTTTTCTCATCATGAAAAGAATTTTAAAATGTCCCTTGAAGAAAATTCCAAAGATCAACAACCAAACAACATTTTGACAATAAATTGCTTGTAAAAGCTCAACTAATCAAAGTTCTTACTTAAAACCAAAAACCCTAATACTTGATAAGAATTTTTATAATTTAATACAAGGCGTTTTATGACGACTTTAGAAAAAGGAAAAAAGAAGACTTAGTAACAATTGAAAAATATAAAAACCTTAATATTGGATAGGAGAGATAGCAGATCTTGAATCTTTATTGCGAGTTCATCAATTAGGTTGTCGCGCTCCTTGAGATAATTACTCCTCGCATTGAGTTTCTGCAGGCTTTCCTCCAGAACAGATTCTGTTAAAACAACAAAATTCAACGATAACACGACTGTTTGGATTGTAATATTTAAAATGGCATTAAAAATTGGTTTTGAATATATCACCTAACCGAGCGATTTTGAGCTTGGCCTCGGCAATCTCATGGTGTTGATTTTGAGAGGTGAGAGTGAAGACTGATGATAAAAAGAGGGACAATAGAATTAGATAAGATGTCATTGTTTCCACTTCTCTCAGTTGTGTGAATTGGGATCCGAATGTTGCTGGATTTTCGATCTGACGGAGATTGGTTACGTGGCAATTCTTTCACCCGATGGTTGAGACTTCAGCCAAAAAATCCAGTAAGGAAAACCCGCCAAGGAAATATGCTTTCATTAGTTTAGTTTTTAGAGCTTATTAAGAATTTTATTTTAGTTTTGCAAGCGCCCCAAATTTGAACTTTTTTACTAAATAGGAAAGTAAGAAGTCTTTTTTTTTTTTTTTAACCAGCTGGTCAAGTTAATTTTACGTACACTTTAACTAATTTTTAGGGTTCTAAAGTTAACGACCAAATAAACTTCTTAATGGCCACCTTATTAGCGTCTGTGACGATTAAAACGATATTTTACAAATTTCAATGCACTATTAATTTTTGGGATTGTTGTTTGTTTTTGTTTTTTCTAGCGTAAACTTTGGGGGTGTAAAGAAATAGGCCTAAATTATGGGTTAGACAAAGACAACTTTAAGAGTGTGTTTGGTTCAGAGAATGTTGGATTACTATAATCTTATGTTACCTTAAAGATTATTGGGAATCTTTAAGAAAATGTGTTTGATTAGTTGGAATAAATTGGTAGGTATGTTATATTAATATGTTTGGTTAGGAAAAATAAATTGATGAGTATATTATTTAAATTACTAAATTGTCTTCTTTTTAAATATTAATATAATATTATTTTTATTATTAATTTTTAAATAATTTTTTTAACCCCTAATATTTCAAATTTAGCTAAAACACCTCCGCTTATATAAAACTTTAATTTATAACAAACTCACCCCCACCACCCTGTCACCATCGCAAACCACTACCGGAAGTCACCGTGACCGAGAGGCCCCAATATGGCCATTTTTGGCCATATTGATGGCCGAAAAGGCCATATCGAGAGCAAATATGGTCGGAAATGGCCAGATTTATTCTGGCCGGAAATAGCCAAATCTATTCTGGCCATTTCCGGCCAAATCTGCTCCCGATATGGCCAGAAACAGCCATATTGGGGCCTCCCGATCACGATGGGTTGCTTACGGCTACTCCAGGTGACTTTCAAAGACTTCCCACAGCAGCAGGTGGGTGGGGGTGGTGGCTTGAGTAAGCTGAAATTTGTTTTGATTTCAAGAGTAATTTTATCCAAAAAGTTAATTAGTTAGGGTGAAATGGTAAAAACAGTGTTACCTCTGAACAAAACTTCTTGCTCTGATACAATGAAAAATGGCACTCCATAATTTGTTACAAAAGAATGAAGCTAATGTTCATCGTTTAGGACAGACTTAAGTTACCATCAGTGCAATATATATATTCTTGTGGTACAAGAATAAAAGGAAATTAGTTATCAATAAAATTCTGTGAACTCCACATAGATGTTTATAGATAGAAATCACCAGCGTAGACAAAAAAGATAAAAAAGAAACATGGTTTAAGCCTTTATCCAGTACCAATCCCAATGATTAGTCACTTGAATGGTTTTCATGTTCTTATGGAATTGGAAGATTGGGAGCCTACTCTTAATCAATCCCATATAGATGTCTACAAGATAGCAAAGTAAAAAACAAATTATCTAACCCATCACAAGGAGAAAATGAGAGGTTGCAATCATTCTACAATAAAGAGAACTACCACTCACACAAAGTGTCCCAAAATTACTGATTCTGAGATTGGAAAAGACCACATGGCCTTTGAACATCAGTCTCTGCAACACTACATGGTTTGAGAGATTGCTGAATGAGGTAAAGTAGTGAAGAACATTGCTCTGCAATCTTGCAGTTAGTCTTTCTCATACTTCTGTGATTTACAGTTTAGGACGGTGGAAGAGACTATCATAGAAGAGAAAGAATCTGTGCCTTCAAGATAAGGTCAAAAATTCAACATGGAAACAAAACTCGACTTTTTACATAAAAGAAAAACTTTCATCACAAATTTTTTATCTTATCCAGGAACACACTTTTTAGAATATTCAAATTATAGCAATGAAGGCAAAATTTCTATCCCAATGAACTACTTTGTGCACAACAAACGAGAAAACTTGCAAGTACAAACCTCATGGTGAAACTTCTTAAAACCTGAAAAGAATCTCTTAAATTGTTGTTCCGCTTTAGAGACATAAGACCTCAAAGTAGACCCTCCACCAGAAAAGTAAGAATCAAGTATGCCCAACAACTTTGGAAGATGTTTTTCAGAAACGTCATTGACAAACTATCACATAAAGAAGTAGTTTGGTTAAGACTTACATAAAAAATGAGTATATGTAAAAATAAGAACATGCTACCAATTATAAAAAATACAGAAACTACAACTACCAATAATTTTACTGATACTTTAAAAAAATTCAGAACCGAAATTAACAAGAGAGATCAATATCTGCATAAATTTCTAACTTATCAAAATTACCTTTAAGAATGTGCATCCAGTAACCCTCAGTTTCCTTTGGATGTTAAGTGCTCTCATCTAAAAGAGAAACAGTAACAACAATATTAATAATTGATTCATTCATGACATCAACAGAGACCACAGCAGCCTTTACTTTAGATCCTGAAAAATTGAACATATGATTGAAATCATTTTGGAGGACTATACTTCTGTCATATGGAGAGCCTGCTCAAGATGTTGCACTTGAATCCACTGTTCATTAACAATGTCTGCCATCTAAAATTAAAGTAAAAAACAAAAAAGTTCTTCAATGAACTTAATAATAGAAAATTATACTTGTTACAAAATTTAAAACTACATTTCAAACAGCATAAAAATACCATTCATGACTACACCTCATTCAACCTCAAGCAAGATCATCACTATAAAAATGAACCAGTACAACAAGAAGCTGTCTCTACAAAGCCCGGTGCCATTACATAAAAAGAATAAGGATAAAGAAAAAAAGGATTGAACCTTTTCAACTTGTGAAGTAACCTCTTCCAATCTATCCTCAGCATCCTGTGCTTTAGATTCTAAAATGTGAAGATCAAAATTGTTCTGTCTGGAAACAGCCCATAGCAGTCGTACCTAGGCATCAAAAAAGCCTACTTTTCAAATTAGATAAAAGTTCAAATAACAATAAACACATTATTATATATGCTAAAATGTATTGGAAAATACAACAGAAAGCCAATTTTCATTATACATAACAATGACCAACCTCTTCTTCTAATGCAGCAACCCTTTCCTCGGTTCGTGATGAGTCATGCTGCAAATTAATGTTTATATAAGATCATGTTATACAATATATTTGAGGAACAATTTATAAGGAAAATAATAGTCAAATTTAACAGCAACAAGAGATTGGTAAAGTGAATCTTGAGTTAGAATTCTAGCAGAATCCTTTACAATCTAAGTATGTCTTTGGTATGGATTCTAAAATAGCCAAAAAGCTTTCTTAAAGCAAGAAGCTGTTTTTCAATATTATTAATTGTTTTGTTGCGTTTCAGAAAATAATATTTTTTTAGTTCCAACGAAACTCATTTACTCTGTTACTTGAAGTTCAAACCAAATAGAAGTTATATGAGAAGGTTTTTTCTCATCATGAAAAGAATTTTAAAATGTCCCTTGAAGAAAATTCCAAAGATCAACAACCAAACAACATTTTGACAATAAATTGCTTGTAAAAGCTCAACTAATCAAAGTTCTTACTTAAAACCAAAAACCCTAATACTTGATAAGAATTTTTATAATTTAATACAAGGCGTTTTATGACGACTTTAGAAAAAGGAAAAAAGAAGACTTAGTAACAATTGAAAAATATAAAAACCTTAATATTGGATAGGAGAGATAGCAGATCTTGAATCTTTATTGCGAGTTCATCAATTAGGTTGTCGCGCTCCTTGAGATAATTACTCCTCGCATTGAGTTTCTGCAGGCTTTCCTCCAGAACAGATTCTGTTAAAACAACAAAATTCAACGATAACACGACTGTTTGGATTGTAATATTTAAAATGGCATTAAAAATTGGTTTTGAATATATCACCTAACCGAGCGATTTTGAGCTTGGCCTCGGCAATCTCATGGTGTTGATTTTGAGAGGTGAGAGTGAAGACTGATGATAAAAAGAGGGACAATAGAATTAGATAAGATGTCATTGTTTCCACTTCTCTCAGTTGTGTGAATTGGGATCCGAATGTTGCTGGATTTTCGATCTGACGGAGATTGGTTACGTGGCAATTCTTTCACCCGATGGTTGAGACTTCAGCCAAAAAATCCAGTAAGGAAAACCCGCCAAGGAAATATGCTTTCATTAGTTTAGTTTTTAGAGCTTATTAAGAATTTTATTTTAGTTTTGCAAGCGCCCCAAATTTGAACTTTTTTACTAAATAGGAAAGTAAGAAGTCTTTTTTTTTTTTTTTTTAACCAGCTGGTCAAGTTAATTTTACGTACACTTTAACTAATTTTTAGGGTTCTAAAGTTAACGACCAAATAAACTTCTTAATGGCCACCTTATTAGCGTCTGTGACGATTAAAACGATATTTTACAAATTTCAATGCACTATTAATTTTTGGGATTGTTGTTTGTTTTTGTTTTTTCTAGCGTAAACTTTGGGGGTGTAAAGAAATAGGCCTAAATTATGGGTTAGACAAAGACAACTTTAAGAGTGTGTTTGGTTCAGAGAATGTTGGATTACTATAATCTTATGTTACCTTAAAGATTATTGGGAATCTTTAAGAAAATGTGTTTGATTAGTTGGAATAAATTGGTAGGTATGTTATATTAATATGTTTGGTTAGGAAAAATAAATTGATGAGTATATTATTTAAATTACTAAATTGTCTTCTTTTTAAATATTAATATAATATTATTTTTATTATTAATTTTTAAATAATTTTTTTAACCCCTAATATTTCAAATTTAGCTAAAACACCTCCGCTTATATAAAACTTTAATTTATAACAAACTCACCCCCACCACCCTGTCACCATCGCAAACCACTACCGGAAGTCACCGTGACCGAGAGGCCCCAATATGGCCATTTTTGGCCATATTGATGGCCGAAAAGGCCATATCGAGAGCAAATATGGTCGGAAATGGCCAGATTTATTCTGGCCGGAAATAGCCAAATCTATTCTGGCCATTTCCGGCCAAATCTGCTCCCGATATGGCCAGAAACAGCCATATTGGGGCCTCCCGATCACGATGGGTTGCTTACGGCTACTCCAGGTGACTTTCAAAGACTTCCCACAGCAGCAGGTGGGTGGGGGTGGTGGCTTGAGTAAGCTGAAATTTGTTTTGATTTCAAGAGTAATTTTATCCAAAAAGTTAATTAGTTAGGGTGAAATGGTAAAAACAACATTCATGTAAATAAATTTAAAAATAAGAGCATTATTGTCCTAAAATTTTATTAATAAGGGATAGAATTATAACAAAAAAAAAAAAGATTACCCAAGTAATCTTACAATAGAGGTAATCAGATTACCTCTAATATTACTAATAGTAGCCACTATTAGTATTTAAAGATTACCAAAATCTTATATTATTTAACAACCAAATATGATAATTAAATAATATAAAATAATTTGACCGTATTCCCACGTGACCCCGCATCCAAACGCCCCCTAATAACATACAAAATTAGAAGTTACAAGGATGAATTACAAGAATGGTAGGCAATGGAATAGTGTTCAGAGAGATTACTGGAAACTTCCACACGCTTCTGGTTCTTTGCATGTTCCAGACAAATCCTTCCCTTTCTTATCTCTTCTCTTCTTTTTTTCTTCCTTGCCTCCACCAACATTATAAGCAAAACAAACCAAAACTCATAACGTTTAGCTTATTACAATTACTCTTGCTGCCGACTTCCGAGTTTCAAGTTTTAACATAACAAGAAGTTGAGAAGACAAAGTGAATTATGGGTGTGGATTATTATAAGATATTGCAGGTGGACAAGAATGCTACTGATGATGATTTGAAGAAGGCGTATAGAAAACTTGCCATGAAATGGCATCCCGACAAGAACCCAAATAACAAAAAAGAAGCCGAAGCTAAATTCAAGCAGATCTCTGAAGCCTATGAGGTTAACTCTTCATCTCTTTCTATTTAAATTATGTTTCTTGCGCTACTTTTAACAATATAATCCTTGTTTATTTTCATCTCTCTGTTTGAAAGTTCAATTCTTGCACTTCTTGTTGATACTTTTGTGATACTACCGATGTCAGATTTACGTTTTTACTTCGAACAAAATGGTAATTTAATGCTTGTTTCTGTAGGTTTTAAGTGATTCTCAGAAGAGAGCAGTGTATGATCAATATGGAGAAGAAGGTCTAAAAGGGCAAATGCCACCACCAGGAGAAGGAGGGCCTGGTGGCGGGGCCACCTTCTTCCAAACGGGGGATGGTCCAACAATGTTCAGATTTAACCCCAGAAATGCCGATGACATTTTTGCAGAGTTTTTCGGGTTTTCGAGCCCATTTGGAGGAATGGGAGGAGGTGGTGGCGGCCCTGGAATGAGGAGTAGTTCAAGAAGTTTTGGTGGAATGTTTGGAGATGATATCTTCAGTTCTTATGGTGAGGGTCGGCCTACCATGAATCAAACTCTTCGAAAGGCTCCCACAATCGAAAATAAACTGCCTTGTAGCCTTGAGGAGCTCTATAAGGGAACTACTAAAAAGATGAAGATATCAAGAGAAATTGCTGATGCAAGCGGGTAAGTTTACTTGTGGATTTCACAAATATGCTTGTTTCTTATTCTCGTAGTTTTTCTCCATCTTTACTGCACTGAAGAATTGTTTACTTGAGCATGCCAGTGTTGAGATGTTTGTCTATATTGATATCTTTATGGCATATTTGTTTCTCAAATTAGAATGGAATATAACTGAATGATTGTTTAATTCTGCAATTTTTGGTTTCAGTAGAAAATGATAAGCGTTGTTAAGTTTGACACTATATTCTTTTTATTCCATTTCTCTATCAGGTACTTCTGTAATTACTTTAGTCCATTCTGTTTAAGCAGTAACATTTAGCTGCATTTGCATGTGACATCGCTGGGGTTTTAGGATCAATTAAGCCTACATTTGGTTTGCATGTTGCATCTCTAAACTCCGTAAAGGACTAACACCAACGACGCTCTTTATTAAAATAAAACAGTGTCTTAGATCACTTCACTGAAATCTTTCATAATGGTACACATACTAATCCTATGCTTGATTTTCAGATTCTTTCTATCATGGTAGATTTCTAATATGGTATTTTTTACCAATTGAATATTGTAATGCAGGAAGACCTTGCCAGTGGAGGAGATTCTAACCATTGATATAAAGCCTGGCTGGAAAAAGGGAACGAAAATTACCTTTCCTGAGAAAGGAAATGAGCAACCAAACGTTATTCCGGCGGATCTTGTATTCATAATCGATGAAAAACCTCACAGCACATTTTCACGGGAAGGCAATGATCTGGTTGTCACACAAAGGATATCTCTTGCAGAAGCACTAACAGGCTACACTGTTCACCTCACAACCTTGGATGGAAGGACTCTTACTATTCCAATCACTAATGTCATTCATCCCATGTATGAAGAGGTGGTTCCGAAAGAAGGTATGCCCATACCCAAAGAACCCTCAAAGAGGGGCAACCTAAGAATCAAGTTCAACATCAAATTTCCCACGAGATTAACTGCTGAGCAGAAAACCGGAATCAAGAAACTTGTGGCTCCATAAACTGGACCGCCCGTGAAAAATGCACAATGTAATGCCGTGCTATTGTGAATATTGTTTTTGAGATGGCTGTGATTTGTACTGCTACTTTGTGTTATATGGTTTTAATAAATAAGTTGGTTTTAATTAATTAATAAAATATATATAAAATTCATTATAAACTGATCAATTATAAATTGTTATAAAATAAGTTTATGAAAAAAGATCGGTTGGAATTGTCAAAAAAAGTTTATAAAAAAAGATTATTAATGTAGTATTACTTGTTTTAAATGGATGAAATTGGTATGGAAACTTATGTTTATCAAAATAAAAGAGAAAAAAATAATATAAATTATTGGAAAAAGACCTCATTGCTGGCTAAATTACAATAAACTTCCTCAATTACATGAATTACAATGCCAATCTAACTAGTTACATCTAACTCCTCTCCCCGACTACCCCCATTAACTGATGGAAAGGGGCCAAATTACTTTTGTTCTCTTATACACAAATTTAAATCGCTAGTGAAGCTACAATATCAAAAATATTTTGCAGCTTTGTAGTATCAATCACTATATTCTGAAACTGCAGAGTCCACGCCATCGCCATCATCAATTCCCATTTGATCAGAGGCTTCACTTAAATCCATGTCTCCCTCTGAATCTTCTTCTCCTACCTCTTCAATGCCGCGATCATCTCCAGATACATCTACATCCTCATCACTTACTTCCATCATACCTCTATTCCAACCATTAGGGACACCATTAAAACCAAGCTCCCAATTTCCTTGCTCATATTCTACTGCTTGGACATTGTCATCGGAGTCTACTGCTTCCGCACTGTTGCTATTCTCAGCATCCTCCATATTTATCATCTCCACCTTTCCAACACCCCAATCATCCTCATCCAAGTTTCTATGTAATTCTCGACTGTTCTTGGGGATAACTCTGTCACCCATTTGGTTCTGTAGTGTCTCGTTCTCAGATCTCCTTTCTGCTCTCTTCCTAACTGTTCGGCGACCCCGTCCACCTACCTGACCATTTGTTTTTACTATCTGCTGTCTCTGTCGGTTTAGATTCTCATTTTCCCTTGCATTTCGCCTGCCAGGGTCACTACTCATACCAGGAGCTTTTCTCTGATACTTTCTTCCCCATCCTTGGTCACGACTCTTTTTTCCACGCTTAATGTTTTTACGTTTTCCAGTCAGATTAGCATAATTCTCTTCTTTCATATGTCCATCTCGGTCCAGAAGTTTTAGTTCAACCTCTTTATTCTTGAGAGTTAAATATCTTGCAGGCAGCTTCTGCATAAAAGAAAAATGAGTTAGCTGATAATTTCTTCAACACTAAAGATTATAGACAATAAACAAATTGGATAGAAAATCCACACATCCTACAATCTTCTAGAACCACACTAGAGATATCTTTGACGTTCTATGCTCAAGGGCTGTGCAGTATTCAAAAAGCATACATTCTCTACATATATATACAGGCACACAATCAAAAATGGGAAAAAGAAAGGAAAAAGGAACTCACTACATATTCTTTAACTTCCTTATCCTCTAAGGGTTCAACTTTCTCCGGCTTTACATACATTATCGAGACATCAAGCTCCAAAAGTCTCAGAGCAACAGCTGCAGTAGTTTTTGGAATCCACGGGAGTATAGGAACTGACGCAGCATCAGCAGACAGAACAGAGGAGCCCAATAATTCTTTTGTTGTCTCAAAGTTGGATGATAAATACTGTCGCTTCATGCCACTCTCACATAGAGTCAATACCTGCACCATAGATTATGAGTGAGCAACTCATCAGACCATAACCTAAAATACTGGACTACCACATATTTGTAAGATGAGCAGATTTTATTTCGATGTTGAACCATACTGGAGAGAAAAATGAGATAGTTACATCAGTGTACTAGATATCCAGCAATAGAGCAAAAAACCATAGAAGGTGTGACAAATATATACAAGATAATGACAGATAATCTTACCTTTCTGAGAAACCAAACTGAACAAAATTAACCTAATATGACTTCCTGACTGAGATGTCTGAGAAACAAAAGCCTAAGAGAAGCAAGAAGTCTAACTCTATCCCCATAGCTATTGCTATTTTCATCTCCATACCAAATAAGAGAACCAGATAGAGAGACAAAAAATCATCCATAGAAAGTGTATAAATAAAAGATAATATCATTAACTCTGATTTGCTCTTTTTTCCACATTCAACTGAGTCGAAAAAAGCAAACAAATATGCAGTGGTGGAAATTTAAAAAAAAAAAAAAAAAAGAATGCATCACCAGTAGAAGCAGCAAAAATGGCATCTAAAAAATGAAACTTTGACTAGGCATCATGATTTTATTATACAGAAGAAACAAGAACTTAGACAAACTACAAGAATATAGCCAACAATTTCAGCAATTGAATAGAACTGAAAACATGCAAACCTGTAGGACTTCTTGTCACTTACTACTTTACGAGTTGAACGAACGGTTTCAGAAAGCATGTTCTACTGTCCAAAAAGATTCCCAAGCTTCTGATGGTACAGACGCCTGTCAATCAGTAAATACAGATTATGTACAGGCCTAGCTGAACAACTATTGAACAATTAAAAAACAGGATGTAAGGAAATGAAATTTCACATAATCACATCAAACATAGCTACTTCCAAGAAAAAGGTTTGTGCCTCACCTCAATTACAGAAAACAGGGCCTTAAGCAATCTAATTCCAAACGGAAGAGAAGAGTGAAAAATATGCATATCCCCTTGCCCTAACTTGCTCTTCTCTTCACATTGACCAACATGTTCAGAAAATTTAGAATTGTTATCAACTGCACCAAATGTCTGGTGGCAAGATGGGCAATGAGTATCCTCAGAAAGATAAGAATCAAGACAACCATCACAAATGGCCAGCAACTGTTTGCATCTTGGCTTCCCAACTTTTATGGCACATAGTGGCAGTGAAGTATAGCATTCTTTCCACATCCACTGCTGAAAATCTTGGTACCTTTCCAAGGCAGCTTTTTTCTCAATCTCATTTCTCCCAAGCTCAATTCTGAATGAAGATGATGTTTCAGTTAAATCAGAATTTAAACCACAAACAGCACTACTAGGACTGTCTGAACTAGCAAACTCAGAATCAACATCCATTTCAGTAGTTTCATTTTTAATGGTGGCTCCGCTTCGGCCTGCAGTATTGTCATGCTGCAAGTTCCTTCTAACATTTTCTTTGAAGGATGTCTCAATCTTTTGCAACATTATGCGCAGATGAGATTCTCTGATTCCTCGTGTATCCAAAGACGTCAATAGAGTATCAAAGGCCTACACAGAATGAATTAATACAGGATAGCATCAGATAGATGTGAAGCAAGAATCATCAACAATTGTGAAACATTCTCTGCCAGGAGGTTAATTGGTAAATACCAACACATTTTTTCTCACATAGCAACATTGACAGTCAGCCAAAATTAGGTGTCCAGAGACAAATTAAAAAGGACATAAAAGGTTGATCTTTAGAAAGCAAGACCAAAACCTTGTAAAATTTGGTCCCTTTTGAAATAATTTTAGATAGGAGTTTGGCACCATACAGATATATATGAAATAGATCAGTTCATTTCAACATTCACTGTATGAGCTAGTACTGACTGACACAAACTTAATCACACCATGTAATTAAAAGGAAATAAAGTCATGGATTTAACAGTAAATGAATATAACATATATCCTGCAGACTCTAAAATAGTTGTATAGAAATTACCTCTTCTGTATCAATAAGCCTCCAATTTCCATCATGCAATTCAACAAAGATTCTGCCAGAACAAGGATCATTTTTAGAAGCAGATGCAACAAACTGCCAGTATCGGTTGCGTCTTCGATCTTGACCAAGAGGCAAGGATCTGTACACATACATTTCTTCTGCTATGTGTGCTATATAAGCTTTCAACTGTGAGCGTGATCTTTTTGAAGTATATCCATGTTGCTGAGTTGCAAGGTTATCCAGACCTGTAGAGGGATCTTGAACAGCTAAGGTCCTCTCAGTAGGAAAATCATTGAGATTATTCTGAATACCTTGTGAAACAATCAAGGGTTTTTTATCTTCTGCAAGGTTTGGAGATTCCTCGTTTCTATTGTCAACAGTAACAGGCAATGGACTTTGGCTTTCCTCCACTGTAAAACTACCTGGTTGTGTTTCCGCTTTGCCCCCCATAGAAGTTGCAACATCTACTTTACTCATAATCTCTTCTTTCAGGCGACTTTTATCTACTTGTGCCTCAGCCCACATTTGCTTTTTAAGAGCATTTGCTCCTTCCAAGCGATCCTGAAGATCTCCCAAAATCAAATTCGAAACAGATAAAATGATGGTACTTAAAATAGTAATAGTAATAGCAGGGAAAAGACAAACAAACTAATCAGATCAAATGCTAATAGAAATGGAAGTTTACCTCAAGAACTGCACGAATAGAGTTTCCCTCATTTGCTAAACCTATTAAGGCAACAAGGCCATTAAGACGCTCCTCAACACTGAGATGAGAGTAATCACCCTCTGTAAGTCCTTGAATCCATGATTCACCAGGTTTGCTTTCATCAATTTCAACATTTTCTTGATTAAGATTACTAGCCCCAAAGTCTTCACCAACATACTGTGCAGTGATACTTGGACAGCTTGCATCCTTAGAACCATTCACTGAGAAAGACGAAAAATCCTTGTCAACCTCATTTTGCACACTAAGTGCAACATCATTGCAAATATTGTCTTTTCCACTCCCTGAGCAAGGATTTGCTTCATCATAACGGTCAACGATTTTGTTTGCAGTTGACGGAGTAGCCAAATCTTCAACTTCAGGATCCTCATCAACATCACAGTCCGAGTCATCATCTCGTTCAACATCATCAGCATCTTCTGCACCTAAAAACCCATTTTCAAATATCCGAATTTTCTTTCTAGCTGCTGCAAGTATTGCCTCAGCATCTGCAGGATCCTTCCTAAAAGCAGGTCGTACACAATATGTTGAAGGAGCTATTCTTTCAAAAAGTTTTGTATCCCTTGTCAAAGCAACAGAAATTGATGCCTCTGGTGTCTTGCTTGTGGTTAGGTCCCGGAGTCCAGATTTCTTAGAGAAAAGAAGGTAAATCAAGAAAGGCCCAAAGAATAAAAGGCTAACTAGTTTTATCAACAATCTAAAACTCACCTGAATCTTGTCAGCAAGTTCTAGCACAGTTAATCCCTTGCTTCCCTCAAGTGAAAGAACATGAAAAGCAGCAAATTTGACAGTTCCAGGAGTCAATTTATGCCTAGATCTTCGTGGAAGTAATAGACCTTTTTCTCGCATCCATGCAAATGCATTTTCAGCAGCTGAACCATTACGAATAGTAGAAACTACGTCTTCACAACCTTTACCCTGAAATCACAAGTAGAAGCACAAGTTTTTAATCAGATAAACTAGAAAACAAAGAAACTACCCACATATACAAATTGGTGAAGAAAACATGAGAGACATATATATCCAATAATCTCCTAGACATAAATAAGCCTTGAAATCTATCATAGTATGATTGTATTTGAGCTATTGCAACAACACATGGTTTATCGAAAACCGCCATGTATACACTCTTTCCTCCACTTCTACCTTTATTTTGCATATCAATAATGCCATTGGAGAATGCAACTAAATCTCTCCTTTTCCTTTGAAAATAATTTTGTCCAAAACAGATAGACCAAAAGCAACCACACTATCAGATTCTAAATAGTCAGAGGACAAACCAATACTCTAACCATAAAGCAGATTGAAATACAGCTTTCCAACAATAATCACAAGTGACACAACATATTCGTTTAACATATTTCATATTAGAAACTACTCCTTTTGGTTTATTTTACTACCTTGCAAACACAAATTAAATGATATCCCACAAAGTTTAGTATAAGAGTTGATACCTACACCTGTTACTCCCCTGAAAAAGCTTAAACAATTAAGCTATCTTCTTGGAGACAATCAGAATCATCATAGTTATTCTCTTTGTTTTCATACAACCAGGTTCCAAGTGATACTAAATTACCTCAACATAGCAATAATGAACAAGCAAAACAAGCAAAATAAAAAAAAATTCAATAAGTGCAAAAATGTGAAATAATAACCTCATGGTTTTCACCCAGGCTGGTCCATGAATTGCTTTTTTTCTTCAACTGTGGCCCAAATCCAGCAGACAATGCTAACTGCCGAAATATTTCTGGCCAAGTTAATGGATTTAAGTGCCGCTGCCAATGGCGTATATCAAAGCCCCACGAATATGCCTAATACACAACGAAAACATCAAAAAAGGTCCCCAAAATTAAAAAAGAAACCACTGAATGCATATTTGCGAGGTAGAGGCAGGTTACCCCTTCAATGATTCGTGGATGTCCACCTTCAGGATTAGCGGCACAATATTGACTTATTCCTATTCCAGTAGGAGTCCTTGCAACATCTTCAATATCTTTTATTATGGATTTGAGGAGAGCAACATGTATCTCACCCAACAACCTTGAATCCTGAGATCAAAATGACATGAATAGCAAGCAAAAAAATATTACATAAAAAGGAAAATTAGATTGTCCAAAAATTGAAGGAAAAAAGTCCTAGAAACTCACATAATCATGAAAAGCTTGCACAAACTCATCCAAAGTAAAAGGCCATAGCCCAAGAACATCCGCAAAGGTGATAAAAAATCTCCAAACCTGAAAAAGACAACCACCAAAGGCACTAAATGGGTAGACCATTGTTCAAAGCTAGAAATTTTATGAAGGGAACACCACAAGATAAAGGCTCATTCTCAGTTTAGATATACAAATTTGGTTGAAAGATACACTAATACAAAATGAGATGCTTAATACATCAAACATAATCATAACTTAATTCGCACGAACTTTCATAAAACTCAAAGCTACCACCAACTTCAGCAAGGAAGATTTGTAGCACTAAAAGTTTGCCAGACACAGTGGATATCAGAAAAGTATCACGATATTTAATACATGAGTAATATGTAAACAGTAGAAATCCAACATAATTTTATTTGTTAATTTACCTTTGCCTGGTAAGGGTAAACCCGGGACCTACTCCATGTCCACCTATTACCACTACAGTTAAAGCTCAAGGGCAAAATGCTACTTAATGGTTAAACAGCTCTCATCAACTTAAGCACAAACACATAAGAAACATAGACGCCAGTAGAGATAGGCACAAGAAAAGATTGCTAAAATGCATCTCATAAAAAAGTCCAAGCAGTAATGAGTTCTGTTCTGTATATTTTTTTTCCCCAATACAGTCTCCCTTCATCCAAAACAATAAAAAGGGAAGAGAAGTACGAAATAGAAAAGAATAATAATATTAGGTCATACCATGAGAAGATTCCCAATATTCTCCTCTGAATCACTCCATGGCTGAACAGCAAATGGCCGTTTGAGTTGCACAGACTTGGGTGGGAAAACACTAAGAGAATCTAAAGCACAAATATTTCATTACAGTTAAAATTAACCAAAAGGCAGAGAAAGATACTCTCATATCTAATGCAAAAGAAACTAAAAGAAACAATATCACATGTTTACAAAGTAAGACATTGAATGGATTTAAACCTCAATCAGAAAGATGAATGAACTAACAAATGGAGAAAGATTTCCTGTCATAGTTAAGAAGATAAAACGTCATTTTTTATCAATCTTACAGGAGGAGTCCATGGCTTCGATCTACAAATTCAAGATTAATTGTGAAAGGAAAAAAATTAACAAGGGACTTATACATTGAATTGGCAGTTGTGCCACAAACCTGTGTAATGTTCAGGAAAGGTGGCCTATTGAAGTAATTAACTACTAAAAGCTGCTTCAAAAAATATATACATGTTTGTGAAAAGACATAAATTAAGAGATTCCAAGCGAAATCTGCGATGTTTTTTACTACATAAGTAATAAATTTATCTGGCGTATGGAAGAAGTTAGTAACTGAAAGCAGCTACGAAATTGACTCTCTTTTGCAACTGTTCACGGAAATGAGAAGAAAATTGCTAAAAAAGTTAATCCCAGACAATCAAAGTCCACTCTTCTTTGACCAGCCCTTGTCTTCAGACATATTTTATAATTTGATAATGTACTCAAATATTTACAATTTGTTGAGGTGACTTTTCAAGTTTTCAGAAGTATAGAAGAGAAAAGTCAACCAGACCAAAAAAAAAAAAAAAGAAAGAGAGAGAGAGAGAAGAAGCAAGCAATCAGGTACATGTATAAAAAAAATTATATTAAAAATGCATAGAGAAGTCTATCAAACAAAACTTACCTCTGAATAACTCAAGGTTTTGCAAAGCATCAAGATCAAGATGAATTATTGAGGATAATCCCTTGCTTGCAGCAGCCAAATCCATGAGTTCCAATTGCTCATCCTCGATAAGATCCATAGACTCTTTTGCCATTTTGCGGGCAGTTGCCTTCTCAATGGCAACTTTACGTTTTGCTGCCTGTTTTTCTATGCGAAGTTCTTCTTTTAGCCTCCTCTTTTCAGCCTATAGCACAAACCCCAAAGAGAGAGACAGAGTTTTATTGTTTATCCTTAAAATCAAGATAAATTAGTGAGAAAACAGCAACTATTAGTAGGCTCTCAGACATACTCTTAAGTATTCTTTCTGTAAAAACTTTTCCCTTCGCTCAATTTCACGTCTTTGTTCACGTAATGATCTCTCTTCTTCTCGCTGCTTTTCACGAATTAACCTTTCTTCTTCCTTCCTTCTTTCACGCTCATGCTTCTCCATTTCTTTCCTCATTCGTTCTTCACTCTAGTAGTACAAAATAGAAAATACAAGTATAAATGAAAGTATTGTTTTCCTGGATGGAAAACATCAAGATTTATAAAATCAAACCTTTCGCCTCAGATTATCTTGTCTCTCAAGCTCTTTCCGTATCCGAATCTCATGTGCTTCAGCTTCCCTTGCAATTCTACCTTCATCAATTTGCAAACTCTGAAACGAGGCAAATATAAAATTACTAAACTAACAAAAGGAAAAAGAAAGAATATGAAAGTACACTATTGCATGATGAAGACTGTAACTTTCCACTTATCACTAAAGAATACCTTGCGTTTCCTGTCCGCCCGTAGCTCAGGATCATTATGGAAGGTTTGGCCATCAGACAATGGATAAGGATCTTCAGTTCCAAAAATTGGGTTGGCAATAGATTGACCAGATATCCTATTGTTTGAAGAGGATTCCCTTTGTGGGAGAGAGTCTTCACCCCCATTAGGTGATGAAAAAATGTGCCCTGGTTTCTCTTGCTGAGATAAAACACGAACACGAGATGCAAGGCCTTGGACACCAGGAACTCTGGACAAAGGTTCATGTCCATGTGCAAACAACGATCTAGCCCTTGGAGCATCAACGGGTGAACCATGAAAATAAGGCTGGTCTTGGAGAGATTGATAGTCATGGAGAGCCCTTGTAGCCTGGGATTAAATCCACAAAAATTCAGTAAGTGAATATAAATAAATCGTGTAAATTTAAAAAAAAAAATAATAATAATAATTCAAAATCACTAGAATCAGTACTGACTTGAAAATAAATAAATGAAATCAGGATATATTATCTACAGTAAATTCATTGTAGCTTCAATTTCTTTCAGATATCTATAGATGCATAAGGAACAAGTATTCTTACATTCAGGGAAATAAACAAAGAGGAAAAAAATGATAAGACAACCTAACTACATTCTCAGTCAGAAGTATTAAGAAGAAATTGCAGTTTATGATTCCCATACTCAACACAATATGAGTTGCAAACATGAAAGAGTAGCAAGCCAAAGATGGATTCAAAACTTAATTGGCAAACCCACAAATGACAGTAAAAAAGGCTAATTAGACCTCAAACTGATAGGCCTTTTTCCTAATAATTTAATCAGCACAAGATGGCTTCTAAGGTTTGAAGTGAAAAGAAATAAAACACTCATCCGTAGAATAAAGCCAGAAAAATTGTAATTGTAAACAGGCAAGGGCTACTTCGGTTGCCAAAAAAATAATAGACTGAAAAAAACCAACCTTAGAATCTAGAGGGACATATCAAAAAAAATTAACTACCACTTGATTGACACTAATTTAAAGAAAAATGTTTTTCATTATCCTCAGGTTGTCACAGAAGGACTCATACCATAGACTTACTCTTAGAATTCCAATGGACATCAAGCATCTTAACCATATTGCCACATCCCAAACCTTAAATATCAATAATGCATGCCATGTATACCACTTATAACAAAAAGCTTTTAAGAACAGAATTTAAGAAACCAACCTTGTTTGATTTGGTCTCATGTCGCTCGTATATTTTGCCCTCATAAGAATGCTCAGACCGCTTCTGCTGATCAGCACCAGCTGCTTAACATGCAATACAGAAAGTAAGCAGGAAAAGCATTTGCATAGGCAATACAATGAGAAAAACAGAGTGCAACATATATCGTTGAATAAAACACAGACAATAGTAGACAACATCAAATGTCACCCAACACTATTCCCCATATCTTTCCGAAGCCATTATATCAAGATACACTTGCATTAACAATATCCAGCACAAGATATCAAATTTCTAAAGCCGACAACTGAAATCAATACTTATGCTCATACCTATTGGCGCTCCAAATGCATCAGGTGGCAAGGGATCAAACTCCATTCCAAAGATTGGCCCATCCTCTCTCAATGGCTCCCCTAACAGTGCCTCCACGCAGGCAATTGCTCTAAGCTCCATTATTGACTGCTGTGACTCATAAGACCTCCTCACAATCGGCAAATCATCCATTAAAGCTCGAGAAGACCCTGCTGCCACCATATACGGACTTGAGCCAGACCCTGAGCCGGACCCATAATCACTCCCAGGCTCAGTCCCAGCCCTGAACTCTTCNCAAACAACGATCTAGCCCTTGGAGCATCAACGGGTGAACCATGAAAATAAGGCTGGTCTTGGAGAGATTGATAGTCATGGAGAGCCCTTGTAGCCTGGGATTAAATCCACAAAAATTCAGTAAGTGAATATAAATAAATCGTGTAAATTTAAAAAAAAAAATAATAATAATAATTCAAAATCACTAGAATCAGTACTGACTTGAAAATAAATAAATGAAATCAGGATATATTATCTACAGTAAATTCATTGTAGCTTCAATTTCTTTCAGATATCTATAGATGCATAAGGAACAAGTATTCTTACATTCAGGGAAATAAACAAAGAGGAAAAAAATGATAAGACAACCTAACTACATTCTCAGTCAGAGGTATTAAGAAGAAATTGCAGTTTATGATTCCCATACTCAACACAATATCAGTTGCAAACATGAAAGAGTAGCAAGCCAAAGATGGATTCAAAACTTAATTGGAAAACCCACAAATGACAGTAAAAAAGGATAATTAGACCTCAAACTGATAGGCCTTTTTCCTAATAATTTAATCAGCACAAGATGGCTTCTAAGGTTTGAAGTGAAAAGAAATAAAACACTCATCCGTAGAATAAAGCCAGAAAAATTGTAATTGTAAACAGGCAAGGGCTACTTCAGTTGCCAAAAAAATAATAGACTGAAAAAAACCAACCTTAGAATCTAGAGGGACATATCAAAAAAAATTAACTACCACTTGATTGACACTAATTTAAAGAAAAATGTTTTTCATTATCCTCAGGTTGTCACAGAAGGACTCATACCATAGACTTACTCTTAGAATTCCAATGGACATCAAGCATCTTAACCATATTGCCACATCCCAAACCTTAAATATCAATAATGCATGCCATGTATACCACTTATAACAAAAAGCTTTTAAGAACAGAATTTAAGAAACCAACCTTGTTTGATTTGGTCTCATGTCGCTCATATACTTTGCCCTCATAAGAATGCTCAGACCGCTTCTGCTGATCAGCACTAGCTGCTTAACATGCAATACAGAAAGTAAGCAGGAAAAGCATTTGCATAGGCAATACAATGAGAAAAACAGAGTACAGCAACATATATCGTTGAATAAAACACAGACAATAGTAGACAACATCAAATGTCACCCAACACTATTCCCCATATCTTTCCAAAGCCATTATATCAAGATACACTTGCATTAACAATATCCAGCACAAGATATCAAATTTCTAAAGCCGACAACTGAAATCAATACTTATGCTCATACCTATTGGCGCTCCAAATGCATCAGGTGGCAAGGGATCAAACTCCATTCCAAAGATTGGCCCATCCTCTCTCAATGGCTCCCCTAACAGTGCCTCCACGCAGGCAATTGCTCTAAGCTCCATTATTGACTGCTGTGACTCATAAGACCTCCTCACAATCGGCAAATCATCCATTAAAGCTCGAGAAGACCCTGCTGCCACCATATACGGACTTGAGCCAGACCCTGAGCCGGACCCATAATCACTCCCAGGCTCAGTCCCAGCCCTGAACTCGTCTACAGGAGATTCCGGCATTATGGCAGCCACATTTTTCCTCATTTTTTTGGGTGGATTCTCTTTTTCCTTTTTATCCTTCAACCTTCTGTGGCAAAACCACATCTGCAGTTGCCGATCAGACAAGCCTAATTTTTCAGATAGCTGGGCTCGCATTGCCTCAGATGGGTATGTCTCCACTAAATCATACAATTAACATTAAAAAAAAAAAAATCAACAAATTGAGCCAACAATTTAACAAAAATTCAACATAAACAGATATGTACAATAAAAATATGCAAATTAAATAAAAATACCAAAAAAAAAAAATAAAATAAAAAAACATAAGCAGATTAAAGCAAGAAATCAAATAATATACAATAATTACCAGCTAAAAAAAAACATATATACGTCTCTACCGATCAAATCAACAAGAAAGCACAAAAATCACAAATTGAACAAAGAAATCAAACAAAAATTCAACATATATCCACATAAACATATACATATATGCATCTTTACCGATCAAATCATCCACATAAAAACACAAAAATCAGCAAATTGAAGCAAACAAAACTCAAAGCATACACACAGAGATAAGGAAATTAAAAGAAAAAAAAAAAAAAAAGATGTTTACGGACAAGCATAGGCCTTCTCTAGGGTTTCCAGTTGAAAGGGAGTCTTCATCTGCCGTTTGGGCTTGCTCTGTTGACCATCATTGGAAAGATTACCAGCAATTTTCTTACTTTCATTACTCTTATTTTGATTCTCCGCATCGGAATCGGCGTCCATTGAAGAAGCAGATCAAGATTTCAGACACAAAATCTAGGGTTTTCCGGAAGAGAAATTACTTTAATATATTTTGGTACCCTTTAAAAAATCTCCAAAAACGACATATCGTAAGAGTGAAGAAAAGAAGAGAGGCGGAGAAGAAACAACAAAGAATAATAATAAAAACAATATGAATGTGAGAATAAAAAGTGAAGATAAGAGAAAAGAAAGATTTAGACGAGAGAAGAATAAACTTAAATTTTAATATTGATGTTATTAATAATAATAATGAGAAAACAAAGTGAAAATAGTAAAAAGCGAAATCAGGAACAGAACAAATACAATAGTAGTAGTCCTTCTTGACTCTAATTACAACACATTCCATTACTCTTTTTTTTCTTTTTCTTTTTTTTTTTAAATTTTGTTTTTCTTAATCTTATTTGTTTTTGTTTTTATTGATATTTGAATGGTGTGTGTGTCAAAACAAAAGGCCCTTAAATGTTTTTCGCCTTTGTGTTTTTGTTTTTTATTTTCTTTTTCGGTTCTTGTTCTTTATTTTTTTTTTTAAACATTTCTATTGGTCGTTGCCTTTGGGTTCTTAATGAATTAAAGAGTTCTTCTTCTGTGGTTTGCGCCTTTGGGATCTTCGGGTGCGATGATTGTCTTCAGGTTTCTGGTTTGTGTTTTTCTTGTGGGGCCCAAATTTATTGGGCTGGGCTTTTTCTATAAGATGCTAGCCTGAATATTTTTTAATCTTTAAATAACATTTTCTGTTATTTTCCTCCCTTAGTTTTGGAAACGTCTAATATTATGTCAATTCACCTCGTATGGGTAAATATTATAAGTACATTTTATTATTAAAATATATTATATTAGTTTATCAATTAATAAATTATAGATAAAATTTTAAAATTAAATAGGAATAATGTGGTAATATATTTGGTCAAATTAGCTTATAAGCACAAATCAGCTTAATTTTAGAGCTTATAAACTCAGATAAACACTCTATTAATCTAATATTAACTATCTGTGGGTGATTGAGTGATTCTATATAAACTCTTAGAAGTATTACTTAAGAGGTTTTCAATTCGAGTCTTTCCTCGTTTGCTAATAGGAGTAGTCACTAGAATTCTTATCCGATCGGTAGTTTCAACATCTTAAAAGATTAGTCGAGGTATGCGTAAGTTGACATGAACGCTTTCGGTTATTAAAATAAAGTAATCTAAAAATGGATAAAATTACACTTTTATGACTGAATATTAATAACTGAATTTGAGAAATTAGGGTAATATTGAGTGTTTTCGGGATCAAAGAAAAAAGTTGTTCAGAGTTGAATAAAATGGAAGATAATTTATGATTCTTATTCTTACTTGAGGAAATAAACTGCCGTTACGAATAAATCCTACTTACTTTGTAGGAAGAAGTCATCTTTTCAGTTGTCACCTAAAAGTCTTGCTGGATCTTTCAATGCAGTTGTGAACGAATGGATGACTTGTCGTCTTCAATCATAAAGCGTTGACGACAAGTGATTCGTGGAAATTGCAAAGAACAAGTCGTGAAATGCAAGCTGCGTTAAGGCGAGGGAATACAAGTCTGTCATTCGTCAAGGCATTGATTGAGAAACTACTTGTTTTAGTCAATATGTGTTATTCCACACGTCTTAATCGGTTGAAGGTTTTTGTTAGACACTTAACAAGTGAGTTAATAACTTGAGATTGTTTTACAGATAGCTAGATACTGAGTTATCATGTTTGAGCTTGGTTTTAGGATTATTCATCAACTTACCACATGAAAATTGTGTTGGTGCTTCTGGACTGGGATCAATTATAGATAACCTCGAACTCAAACAATCTAAATTGACTCTTCATCCCTCTAACAGAGGTATTCTAGAAATGGCTGTTGTCGAGTAAATAGCTCTATGAATTAATTAATTGGATCGAACTGGAAAATGGAAAGATTCATACAGGTTAAATCTTTTGTCACCACTTTGTGGAAAATCATTCGTTTACTCCATTGTTTTAAAACCTGGTTGACCTGATCGGTTAAACCTGTTCAACCAGGACTTGGGGCCTTCACCGAGCGCGAGTTAGCAATTTTCCTATTTATCGAAAACCCTATAAATTGAGACGATGATTGGCAAACAATTGAAGGTTAGGATATTGGGCTTTTGAAGAAGAGAGGCCGATGAACGCAATGGTGCCGACAGAAATGATTTTCGATGAGTAAATCGATCAGAAATCGCAAACACAAAATTGACGGCAATAGCGGGCTGTTGCCACCGATTGGCGAGGCAATGGAGGGAGGGGTGATATGGGTTTTGGGTCAGAAGGCTGAAGGCTGAAGGGAGTGTTTTCGTGGTGATGGGGAGTGTTGTTGTAGCTGGACATAGACCCTATTTGCCTTGGTTTGTCAACACCGACAGTGGTATTTGAGATGTTTTTCCAAGATTGCAAAGATGTAAGGACTTATATGTAATTTTTAGGGGTGTTTTTGTTATATTTCAAATTTTTTGACACTGATTTGACCCATTGGTCAACCCATAACCCGCCACTTTGCCGGGTTTCAGCCCAAGTTGATTATTAAACATTGGCTTACTCAGTTACTCTTAACCCTGGGTGATAACCAGATTATAAGGCAGATACAGAAGATTAATACAATAAAATTAAATCCCACACGAAAAGGCAAAAACGTAGAAACCAGCACGGATCCTCAAGAGTCAAGAATACGGCTTCCATTTTATATCAAATGCAAGCTCTCTGCACTCATGGTTCGAGAGCTCAGTTTCTACTTGGTCTTTAGTTAACTAGCTCTTTTTCTTTTTCCGTTGGCGTTATGAAGCTGCTCAAGGCAGAATTATGATAATTTATAAAAAATGTAAAGAATGTATGGTGATTAGTTTAGTTTCAGAAGACTTCTACTCATGCAATTCACTATTCACATATCTCATTATCACTTTCTGTTAAACTCTCTAGAGCTTCTAAACATATAAGCTAGTTTTGAGAGACAGCAAGTGAGAAATTATTTCAGTCAACATGAGCTGATTGCAAATTAGCAATTGTTTGTACTCAGCATCAAACAAAATTATCAAAAAAATAATAATAATAGTAACTTCACAATGACAGATGGTACTCAATTTGTCATTTTTATCTTTGGAACAGTAGAACATGACTTTACATCCAAGATTTCCTTCATGCCTTGCCTCTTTTCGTCTCATGCCGCTTTCGTTTGCTGAAAAAAAAGAAATTCAATTCATGTTAAAATGAAACTTCCAGATTGAGTCCTAATATGTGCGGAGGTGTGCTTTGTATAAGCTAAACTCCTCTTTAAATAAACATGTACTTGTTGGGAGGGAGCTTGAAAATACAGAAAAATGATGGCATAACAATAAGTTTATAAAAATCCCCCATCACATCCCCCCCTCAAAAAACAAAAAACAAAAAGACCACCATCTTCCTCTTTCCTTTCTTCTTTCTCAATTTTTTCTCCCTTGCAAAAAGTGCTGACTCGGTGAGATGGTTTTTTTATTGGGAAAGAAACCGGGTGTGGGGAGCCACAAGACATTGTAATAACATAAGTTGAAGGAAATAGAATTATCATCTTTGAGGAAATAAAATGGCCCTATAGAAAAGCATCTTAAAAATACAAATTGAAAAAACAATAATTACTCATACTCTTAAATGTGAACCCAGGAATTTGAGAACAGAAGATTTAGTTCATTCAGACAGCTTTACAAACTATAAAAGCAAGAGACTGATTTTTTTTTTTTTTTTTGGATAAGTGGGTGTGACTCATGAGTGCAGGGAGATTAAGCGAGATGTGAGTACTAAGTAGTTCAATTGATTAAGTCTCTACTCTAAGGGTTATATATATGAGAGGTTTTAGGTTTGAATCCAACTCATCAATCTTTTTTTGGGGTTTCTAAATTTCTAAGGATTAAATAAAATGAGAATCTCTAGCATAGGTGATGCCTATAAGCCACAAAACATGAACTAAGTGTACTTTTGACCAGCTCTGATTAACTTCTACTATATATGTATGTATGCATTCGGAATGAGACTTACTCGTTTCTCTTCTTCCAACTTGGCCTTAATGAAAGAGTACATTGCAACTCCTGCAATCGCAATGACTGTTCCAATACCTGTTTGTGTTGAGATCTTGTTACCTGTAAGGAGCAAATTGTTAGATATTGATTTCATTGGCTGGTCCAAACTTTATTGACATATATACATACAAAGTAGATGAGACAATACTTACCAAATACCAATATTGAGAATCCAATCACAAACACACGTTTCAGCACGTTGCCAACAGCATGCGTAAGAGGTGCAACCCGCTCCAAGGTGTTGGTAGCCAACTGAATTTTCAGAAGGTAAATTATATTTTATCATCGCAAAAACCATATAGTGATGTATTAGTTAAAATAATGTATAGCATTAGGGACAGCACTCAGCAGTAGGAATTAAACTTATAAACTACCAATTGTAGAAGAAACAATGAAACTGAAGAGCTGCAAGAAGAACATTACCAGTTGATACTTTTAGTTCATATAAAGCCGGGATCAGATGAAGATGCATACCTGATTGTAGAGATGGTAAAACATTCCCACCCAGAAAAGATCTGAGACAAACTTGACCATACCCACTTTGGCAATTGCATCAGCAAAACCATGCTTGACCAGTTGAGGTCCCTCAACCTGTAAAAACAAACACAATGGAAACAAGGAGGGCCTTCAAACAACTGTATTGTAGACTTATATTTTAAGGCTAGAATCATGAAGGGCCAGAAGCTTCTTTACTTACAATAATGGCAGGTGGAATACAGACAATGAGGGCAATGATAGAAATATAAGCATATATATTGGTACTGTCCATATCAGTCTGCATAAAGAAGCACTTATTATAAGAATAAGCTTTTTTAAATCAATTGGAAGCTGAACATGATGAATAACTGAGGGTTTCCTAGAAAGTCACCATGGCTTTCTTTGAATAGATACTCCTGTAAGTGAATGATATGTTGGATATCATAGCACTAATAAAGCCCGTCCAGTTGAATGAAAGTTCAGTCAATGATGCCATGGACACACCTCCAGTCATGAATTAGATATAAAAATAGCATCAGGTTTGTAATCCAAGCACATAATAGAATTGATAAAAGATAGAGAAGCCATGGTATTGGCACAAATGGAGAGAACAGAAGTTACCAAGAACAACAGGAGCCAGAGACAGCCATAGAGTGATGGGTATTGATTGTCCTAGTATGAACTGAGATGCAGCAGCATTGAAGAAGGGCTCGAGAGCTGAAATAAAATAAAACCAATACCAACAATGACTCATAAATCAAATTTATATCTGAAGTGAAATGAAACAATGAAAAACAGATGGATAGAATCCAATGATTTTCCACCCAAAAAATTGGCTCAATTATTGTCAGCACCTTTGATGGTATGAGTAAATGAGACAGCAACTGCTGCAAAAGAGACATTGCTGGTGACATGGCCTAGCGCATGACACACAGCCACAGGGATCAACAGCTTCAGGAGTTTTGAATCGATAGGCTACACAGACAACCCGGTCACAGGATATTATCAGTACATAAAGTCAGCACAAAAAACAAATAAGAGAAAGCAAAAACATTGATAATAAAGATTGTTAACTCAACGAGTATAATAAGAGGTTTCTGCTTTTCACCATGTCAGGAATTACAGAAAAAACGGATGATGACTTTTTCCCATAACCTAATGTATCCACAAGCTTCATCAATTTTTTATTTCAAATTTCTACCACGCTCAATGTTTGACAACTAACTTGCTCTGTAGTTCATTAATTCTTTAACAAGATCTCTCTCACATACATATCACATTGAGTCCCACATAGAAAAATCCATACCTAGACAGATAAGATCATCAACAGTTCTCCGTGCTAGTCCAATTCAATATGATTTTTCATTCGAAATTTTTTATACCAAAGAGATAACATCTAAAACAATTGTAGCCAAGTGAAATAATACTAACTAATACCAATCATAATTAATAAATTGCCATGAACCTTGATCTAAATCCTTAACTAAATAATTAACAAGTGATATACAAGTACAAATTAAATCAATAGCATAAAGTAACTTAGATTAAAGAGGTCCACTTACAGCGCGCTTGGGAAGGCCAACGGCCCAACTAAATAAGCAGTACACAACTCCAACCAGCAGATGAATAACTGACACAAAACTACACACAACAAACTTTCCTGGTAAGAACACACGAAATTACTGAAAGACCAAATCATCAAACAAAAACGGAACAGTTAACTTACTAAGGATAGGGAAAGTAATTGTAAATCTTCTTATTTAAAATGTTGAATATCACGTTCAAGAAGTACCTGCAAGGAAAGGGTATTGCAGTAATTTGACATCCGTTTGACGGTTAGAGCGGTTGTTTAAACGTAAAAGAAGTTAAACTAAGTCACGTGACTTACCACATGAAGAAGAAAAACCCGGTGACAAGAGCCGGGTACTTGTCAAAGAACCCGACTTTCACATCTCTGCAAGTATCATTTAAAAAAAGGGAGATTAGTCTTGAGTTAACACAGTCGAGTTTACCGTTTCAGAACGGAGGAGACGGACCTCACCCGGCGGAATCGCCTCCTTGGGCAGGCGAAGAAGCGGCGGCGAGGCAGGGCCGGAGAATCTCCCTTCTTCCGGCGAACAAGCCGGCAGGAGCATGCGAGCTCTCGAGGAGTAAAGCCGGACGTAGCTGTCTCCCCCAGATCACATTACCGCCTTCGCCAACAGCTCCGATTGGCTTGACGGAGACGAAGCTGACGTTGTGGTTGCTCTCCCGCAACGGCTTCCCGAAGTTACAGACGGTGGAGATGTTGGTGGCACGTGACAGCACTCGCGACTCCATGTTCCTGCTGTTGAGAGAGAGAAAGGGAGAGCGAAATGTGTTTGTGTTGGCTAGAGTGAGCTCTTATTGGAGAGAGCTAGTGGCTGAGAGAGGGAAATTAACGTGCGCCGAGGATGATATCTTACGCTGGGAAATCACGAGAACAGTTATTTTCAGCGGTTAATTTCATTTTTGTTTTTCTCGATGTTCCTGATCTCCTACGACGTACACTACATTATCATCCTACACTACCTTCTATGATCACGCAGGAAGTATTGATGAACGGGAAGTTTTTGAATGGACGGTATGAAGGAATTGAGAAGAGAGTGATATGGTGGGTAGGGGCAGTAGGTGAAAAGGGTAAAATGTTGTGATGAAGGTTGATCGGTGGTGGATAATGTGAGGAGGAGGATAGGTGGGGCCATCTTATCCCGAGTGAAAGGCCAAAGACAGAGAGGTTGTCTTGTCGAATCGTGATCTCTCTGGCCCTGTTTTCAAAATCCTTATCGTTTTTGTTATGAGAGTGGTGGTGACTTGTTGCGGTTGCAACTGTTTACCACGAATAATAGATGATATTTTTTTTCTTTTTTTTTTTTTCCAAAAAAGAAAAAACTGCTCAAAATCTCCCATTAATATACTTCTAGATTTATTCAATCATACATGTAATTTGGCTAACCTTAATTAGAATCTTAATTATTAAATTACCATCATACCTACCTGTCCTTTTATGGGGAGCACTACTTTGAAACTTCTTATGTGAGTACTAAGTAGTTCAATTGATTAAGTCTCTACTCTAAGGGTTATATATATGAGAGGTTTTAGGTTTGAATCCAACTCATCAATCTTTTTTTGGGGTTTCTAAATTTCTAAGGATTAAATAAAATGAGAATCTCTAGCATAGGTGATGCCTATAAGCCACAAAACATGAACTAAGTGTACTTTTGACCAGCTCTGATTAACTTCTACTATATATGTATGTATGCATTCGGAATGAGACTTACTCGTTTCTCTTCTTCCAACTTGGCCTTAATGAAAGAGTACATTGCAACTCCTGCAATCGCAATGACTGTTCCAATACCTGTTTGTGTTGAGATCTTGTTACCTGTAAGGAGCAAATTGTTAGATATTGATTTCATTGGCTGGTCCAAACTTTATTGACATATATACATACAAAGTAGATGAGACAATACTTACCAAATACCAATATTGAGAATCCAATCACAAACACACGTTTCAGCACGTTGCCAACAGCATGCGTAAGAGGTGCAACCCGCTCCAAGGTGTTGGTAGCCAACTGAATTTTCAGAAGGTAAATTATATTTTATCATCGCAAAAACCATATAGTGATGTATTAGTTAAAATAATGTATAGCATTAGGGACAGCACTCAGCAGTAGGAATTAAACTTATAAACTACCAATTGTAGAAGAAACAATGAAACTGAAGAGCTGCAAGAAGAACATTACCAGTTGATACTTTTAGTTCATATAAAGCCGGGATCAGATGAAGATGCATACCTGATTGTAGAGATGGTAAAACATTCCCACCCAGAAAAGATCTGAGACAAACTTGACCATACCCACTTTGGCAATTGCATCAGCAAAACCATGCTTGACCAGTTGAGGTCCCTCAACCTGTAAAAACAAACACAATGGAAACAAGGAGGGCCTTCAAACAACTGTATTGTAGACTTATATTTTAAGGCTAGAATCATGAAGGGCCAGAAGCTTCTTTACTTACAATAATGGCAGGTGGAATACAGACAATGAGGGCAATGATAGAAATATAAGCATATATATTGGTACTGTCCATATCAGTCTGCATAAAGAAGCACTTATTATAAGAATAAGCTTTTTTAAATCAATTGGAAGCTGAACATGATGAATAACTGAGGGTTTCCTAGAAAGTCACCATGGCTTTCTTTGAATAGATACTCCTGTAAGTGAATGATATGTTGGATATCATAGCACTAATAAAGCCCGTCCAGTTGAATGAAAGTTCAGTCAATGATGCCATGGACACACCTCCAGTCATGAATTAGATATAAAAATAGCATCAGGTTTGTAATCCAAGCACATAATAGAATTGATAAAAGATAGAGAAGCCATGGTATTGGCACAAATGGAGAGAACAGAAGTTACCAAGAACAACAGGAGCCAGAGACAGCCATAGAGTGATGGGTATTGATTGTCCTAGTATGAACTGAGATGCAGCAGCATTGAAGAAGGGCTCGAGAGCTGAAATAAAATAAAACCAATACCAACAATGACTCATAAATCAAATTTATATCTGAAGTGAAATGAAACAATGAAAAACAGATGGATAGAATCCAATGATTTTCCACCCAAAAAATTGGCTCAATTATTGTCAGCACCTTTGATGGTATGAGTAAATGAGACAGCAACTGCTGCAAAAGAGACATTGCTGGTGACATGGCCTAGCGCATGACACACAGCCACAGGGATCAACAGCTTCAGGAGTTTTGAATCGATAGGCTACACAGACAACCCGGTCACAGGATATTATCAGTACATAAAGTCAGCACAAAAAACAAATAAGAGAAAGCAAAAACATTGATAATAAAGATTGTTAACTCAACGAGTATAATAAGAGGTTTCTGCTTTTCACCATGTCAGGAATTACAGAAAAAACGGATGATGACTTTTTCCCATAACCTAATGTATCCACAAGCTTCATCAATTTTTTATTTCAAATTTCTACCACGCTCAATGTTTGACAACTAACTTGCTCTGTAGTTCATTAATTCTTTAACAAGATCTCTCTCACATACATATCACATTGAGTCCCACATAGAAAAATCCATACCTAGACAGATAAGATCATCAACAGTTCTCCGTGCTAGTCCAATTCAATATGATTTTTCATTCGAAATTTTTTATACCAAAGAGATAACATCTAAAACAATTGTAGCCAAGTGAAATAATACTAACTAATACCAATCATAATTAATAAATTGCCATGAACCTTGATCTAAATCCTTAACTAAATAATTAACAAGTGATATACAAGTACAAATTAAATCAATAGCATAAAGTAACTTAGATTAAAGAGGTCCACTTACAGCGCGCTTGGGAAGGCCAACGGCCCAACTAAATAAGCAGTACACAACTCCAACCAGCAGATGAATAACTGACACAAAACTACACACAACAAACTTTCCTGGTAAGAACACACGAAATTACTGAAAGACCAAATCATCAAACAAAAACGGAACAGTTAACTTACTAAGGATAGGGAAAGTAATTGTAAATCTTCTTATTTAAAATGTTGAATATCACGTTCAAGAAGTACCTGCAAGGAAAGGGTATTGCAGTAATTTGACATCCGTTTGACGGTTAGAGCGGTTGTTTAAACGTAAAAGAAGTTAAACTAAGTCACGTGACTTACCACATGAAGAAGAAAAACCCGGTGACAAGAGCCGGGTACTTGTCAAAGAACCCGACTTTCACATCTCTGCAAGTATCATTTAAAAAAAGGGAGATTAGTCTTGAGTTAACACAGTCGAGTTTACCGTTTCAGAACGGAGGAGACGGACCTCACCCGGCGGAATCGCCTCCTTGGGCAGGCGAAGAAGCGGCGGCGAGGCAGGGCCGGAGAATCTCCCTTCTTCCGGCGAACAAGCCGGCAGGAGCATGCGAGCTCTCGAGGAGTAAAGCCGGACGTAGCTGTCTCCCCCAGATCACATTACCGCCTTCGCCAACAGCTCCGATTGGCTTGACGGAGACGAAGCTGACGTTGTGGTTGCTCTCCCGCAACGGCTTCCCGAAGTTACAGACGGTGGAGATGTTGGTGGCACGTGACAGCACTCGCGACTCCATGTTCCTGCTGTTGAGAGAGAGAAAGGGAGAGCGAAATGTGTTTGTGTTGGCTAGAGTGAGCTCTTATTGGAGAGAGCTAGTGGCTGAGAGAGGGAAATTAACGTGCGCCGAGGATGATATCTTACGCTGGGAAATCACGAGAACAGTTATTTTCAGCGGTTAATTTCATTTTTGTTTTTCTCGATGTTCCTGATCTCCTACGACGTACACTACATTATCATCCTACACTACCTTCTATGATCACGCAGGAAGTATTGATGAACGGGAAGTTTTTGAATGGACGGTATGAAGGAATTGAGAAGAGAGTGATATGGTGGGTAGGGGCAGTAGGTGAAAAGGGTAAAATGTTGTGATGAAGGTTGATCGGTGGTGGATAATGTGAGGAGGAGGATAGGTGGGGCCATCTTATCCCGAGTGAAAGGCCAAAGACAGAGAGGTTGTCTTGTCGAATCGTGATCTCTCTGGCCCTGTTTTCAAAATCCTTATCGTTTTTGTTATGAGAGTGGTGGTGACTTGTTGCGGTTGCAACTGTTTACCACGAATAATAGATGATATTTTTTTTTTCCAAAAAAGAAAAAGCTGCTGAAAATCTCCCATTAATATACTTCTAGATTTATTCAATCATACATGTAATTTGGCTAACCTTAATTAGAATCTTAATTATTAAATTACCATCATACCTACCTGTCCTTTTATGGGGAGCACTACTTTGAAACTTCTTCCAGATTCAATAATACTACGAACACCGGGATTTTTACACCGAAATATTGTATCGACCTACGTGTAACACGTTTCTGATTTTTTAATAATTTTTTTTGAATGAATGGTCGTCCATCAAATTTGGATGACCGTTCACTCACATGGACGCCCATCCATATTATATGGATGGGGTCCATATAAATAGGGACGCCCGTCCATAAGTAAATGAAATAAATTTTTTTATAAAAATTAAGGACAACCGTCCCTTAATTTTGGACGGACGTCCGCAAATAAGGGATATCTGTCCTTAACCAAAATATGAAAATAAAAAAATAAAAAAATTTGGGGACGGGCGTCCATTCGTCCAAACGTCCATTAGGAATGGTCGAATGGACACCCGTCCCTTAAGTTTGGACGGGCGTCCATTCCTAATGGACGCCCGTCCATACTTTTAAAAAAAAAAAAAAAAAACACCTTCTTCCTTCTTCTTCTTCTTCTTCTTCTTCGCTCCACTCCATCCCTGTAATACCTTAAATCCATTTTGCAGTAATCCTAATCCTCCCACTGAATTACAGCATAAACAAAACAAAAATAACCTTTAGATCAGAATCAGAAGAAATAATATCCCAAAATTAAATAATGAAGTTAGAAGCAAACCATCCTTAGCATTCATTCCATTGGTAAGTTCCCCACTAAGAGTATAAACTTCCATTGCATTGATGAGAGGAGGAAGAGTGGAGTCATCATCAACCTGGAGGGAAATTTGGTTGCTAGCGGAAGCAATTCTGTTAGCAATATAAACTTCAGAGGCAGCTCCAAAAGTCGGAACAATGGAGGCCGAAACAGCCTTGCTATCGATGAACAATTTGAAGGATCTCTTGTGACTGCAGTCGAGCTGAGTTACTTCAGAGAAGTAGGTCACCATGAAGAAGGGAGTCGGCTTTTTAGGAAGTTTTGTGATTATATTTATCCCTATCAAAGTGCTTGAAGAAGTTACAGCATTTTGTAGCACCAATGGTGGAGGATTGTCAGGTGGAGTAGTTACTTTAATGGAAGATGCTTCATTTGAGACTGTTGTTAATCCAAACTCTCATGTTGCTGCTTCCCAGATTCTATCGTAAGGATCAACTGGATATCAATGGAGATCAATAAGCTGTGTTGTGAGAGATATTGTTGTGGTTTTTGGCTTGGCGAAGAAGAAGAAGAGCGAAAAGGTGTTTTTTTTTTTTTAAAGTAGACGGGCGTCACGCCTGTCCAAACTTAATTTTGGACGGCCGTCCTCAAATTTTTTTTGTTTTTTTATTTTCATATTTTGGTTAAGGACGGGTGTCCATTAGGAATGGACGCCCGTCCTTGGTATATGGACCCCCGTCCATATAATATGGATGAGCGTCCATGTGAGTGAACGGTCGTCCAAATTTGATGGACGGCCGTTCACTGGAAAAAAATTGTTAAAAAAATCAGAGACATGTTACACGTAGCCCGGTACAATATTTCGGTGCAAAAATCCCGGTATCCGTAGCATTATTGATTTCAGATTATAGCTCATTATGCTATTTTTTGTGCATGATTTTTCGATGACTACATTTGTGTCACTCGTTTATATACCGAATCAAGATCTAGCGGTCAAAATCACCCCACATGTCGGTCCCATATCAAATGACTTCTCCAACAAGCTCATTAGTATTAAGCATGGGTGTTTGGACTTAAACATAGGCGGAGATTGACTCAAATCCAGATTATAGAGGATTATGCGTGTAATCTGTCTCGTAATACTAATCCCTAACCACTGTCAAACGGTGTGTATAAAAGGGAGACCTCACATCCATTTTAAGGGATTGATCGATTGTTATTCACGCAAGCACAAGAAATCATTTAGAGAGAGTTTTAGCTTGTTATCACGTGTTATCTTCCTATAATCACCTTCTGTGTAATCCTAATACGAGCAATAAGATAATTGTGGACATAAGTTTTGTTCTAACCCATTAAACCACTTTAAAAAGCTCTTGTATTCTTACATTACGGTATTTCAATTCATTCATAGTTGGTTATCTATAATCACGCACATATCCTACCCAATCCCACCATGGTCGACTGGATATTTTTGGTTGTAAGTTTCCGTAATAATACGGTTGTTACAAGTTTCTGTAATAATACTCTTACTTTAGATTAACAAAAGATAGAGCCTTATTATTATTATTTTTTTTTTTTTTTTTTTTTTTTTTTATTGTAGCTGCAACTCATATTATTTGGGAAGAAAATATCTATAGGTGAGGTAGCGACCTCTGGAAAACGAAAAACGCATATTGAGGTTGGAGAGTTGACACATATAAAGGAATGAAGTTGACAACTCTTTCGTTTCCATCATACTTTGGATTAGAATGACTAGTCCGAGAAGAGCAAGCAACTGTGGTGGTGACACAGAATGGAGCATTTCACCAATAATTATAAGGATAAATACATTTTCACTGATGAGGTTTGGGCTGAATACAGAGACATCAACAGGTTTCTGAAAGTGACAATTACATCCGAATTTTTAAAGGATGTTGAAAAAAAATTACTTTTGAAACATATTTTTGCCATAAAGGCTAAAATAACGTTATTTACTATTTTAAAGTTTAAACAAATAAACAATAATATTAGAACAACTTTATTTATTTTGTTCAAACTTTTTTAATAAAATCATTATTTCACTTTTCTTTTGCCAAAATTTTAAATAAAATTCTCCCAAGTTATTTCTTATCTACAAAAAAAAAAAAAAAACAAAAAAAAAAAAACAAAAAAACAAAAAAAACAAAAAAAAAACAAAAACAAAAATGCTAAAGGGAAAAGAAACTTGTTGTATGTGATTTTTCCATTAACCTTGGAAATGTCAGAAGCTCATGAGGATATAGTTCGACCTAAAATTAGTTCGACTTAGCACTTGTCTAACCTAGTATAAGCTCGTCGAGATATAGCTCAACCCAACATAAGCTAATCATGGCCAACCGTGGCAATTGTTCGACAAATCACAAATAAACCCAAATCTCGGATATTTTGGAATGGATGAGATCAACAATAATGAAAGCGCGATCTTAGCGCTCAAACACGTGAATATCGAAGTTGCACTTTGATTTTGATTGTAATCCCGATAATTTCTATATTTCCTTTGTAAAAAAAAACTTGTATATAAACCCCTTCCAATGATGGGAGAGAGGTTAACAATTTGATCTAGGCATATTATATTTCTTGTAAGCTCTCTAAGCAATGAGAAAAACAGTAGACGTAGGCTTAAGTTCTAACTTACCAAACCACTTTAAAAAGTGTTTGTGTTCTTTACATTATTACACATCTTTTATATTCAATTGCTGGTTATCTTTAATCACACATTCATCGGTTCCGATTCCATCAAGATCAATCGGATCGCTTTGGTTGGTGTAAATTTTGCATCAACAAAACTTGTTTTCAAATATTGACAAAATCATTCTTTTAATTAATAACAGCTTGTTGATATTTAACAATTGAATGGCATATTTGTCATTTAACGTGTTCATAACCAGAAAAATATAAAATAAGTTTATTAAAAATATGAAAATATTTTATAAACTCTTACTTAGAAAAGCACCCAAAAAGTCATTTGGTCAGGGTCAGAGCTAGGAAATGTATTCTAAGAGGGTCACAATGTAATGACAATGAATGAAGGGGCCTTAGAAGGAGCCAAATTTATAGGGGCCAAAGTTAATTTCAAAAACTAAGGGGGTCAAATTGATAAAATCTGAATTTATAAGGATTAAATAAATTTTCTTAAAAAAACTTGTGGAGTGAGAAGGCCATGGCTCCGCCCCTACACTCATTAGAAGTGTAGAACTATACCATCACCAGAGATTAAATCAGGCTCAATTGCGGTGGCCATGAATGGGCGACACGCCATGATTTTGTTGTTCTGTCATATTGTGACCACGCATGGCCTTTTGCTAATAATAAGTTTACAACATGTACTTGTGTAATTGAAAAGGAATGCACTGCTGCACTTAGGTGACTTTTGCAGTTGTCATCGAGATTAGGGGTGAAAACCAAGTCGAGCCGCTCCCGTCCTGCTCAAGTTATGCTCAGCTTTTGCTTGAATTCGACTCAGCATTAATTGAGTCGAGTTCGAGTTCGAGTAGCTCGAATAATCTCACAAATCGAGTTTGATCACTGTACAAAAAGCTCAATTAAACTCAACTAAAACTCGATTAAACTTGATTAAGCTCAAAATGCTCAACTAAACGTCGATTAACTAAGCTTGAATTCAAGCTCGAATTTGACTTTTAGATACCGAGTTCGATTTCGAACTCGATTCATTAGGCTTGACTAGACTCGAACTCAAACTTAGTAATCGAGTTGAGTTCAAGTACCTAGACACTTAACTTGATTTCACCCTTAGTCAAGTTACAAACTAATTTAGTCTATGGATACAAAATTGTACTTTGCTCATCAAATATGGTGTTCTATCATAATTCATAGTGGTATATTTGTAATGATTTAATAATGTATAGTATTGTCATATTATATAATTATACAATAATATTACATTCATAATCTTTTTATAAAAACTCTAGTTTGTGTGATAAAAAATGATTTGGTGATTTTAAATTGAAAATAAATTTTCATTTATTATTTTTTGTCACGTAAATTTGTAAGAAAAAATTTATATAAAAAAGTAACTGAGTGTAATATTACTCATAATTATAAACTAAATTAATATTAGTTTAATAAATTAAAAATATTGTTTTTATTGGTGGTGTAAACCGTATAAAGAGAAGTTAAAAGGGTATTTATATACAATAATCTCAAATAATCCTAAAAATTTATTCTCCTTCATGTGTTCTATCAGCCATCATTCAAATCTCACTTGTGTCCAAACATGTTCTATTAATTTACTTTCTTCAGGCGGTCAAAGTGAGAATTCAGATGTTAGGAGATTGAAGATGAAAAGTTAAAGCGGGAAATAAGTTTGTGACCTACGGTATGTAAGCTATTATTTCCTTTCTTTAACCCTGCGCAAATCTCGTTATTTCGATGTTGCATGTGTTTAACGCCGGCGTACACCACTTGTTCGATGAAACGACTAAGAGAAGATGACAACAAGTTTTTTGTGAATCCGATTGTGGTTTATTAATCTCTTTCTCTTACGCCGCTACATATATTGATTATATATTATTATTATCATTATTATTATTATTATTATTGTAGTAATGGGTGCTAAGTCTATGTTAAAATGGTCGAAACAAATAACACCTGCCCAAGTAGTGCAGCTCATACGAGCTGAAAAGGATGTGAACAAGGCCCTTGTCATATTTGATTCGGCAACAGCTGAGTATGCTAACGGTTTCAAGCATGATGAAGCCACATTTGGTCTTATGATCTCTAGATTAGTCTCTGCTAATCATTTTAAACAAGCTGAGGATCTTCTTGATAGAATGAAGAAAGAGAGTTGTAACATCAAAGAAAATATATTGCTCTCTATTTGTAGAGGCTATGGTCGTGTTCACCGCCCGGTGGATGCCATCAGGGTTTTCCATAGGATGAAGGAGTTTGAGTGCGAACCTACTGAAAAGTCTTACGTTACCGTGTTTGATATTCTTGTTGAAGAGAATCAGTTAAGGACCGCATTTAGATTTTATAAGTATATGAAAAAAATGGGTATTCCGACTAGTGTTGCTTCCCTTAATGTTTTGATCAAAGCTCTTTGTAAGAACAGTGGGACAATTGATGCTGCTATTAGAATATTTCATGAGATGCCTAACCGCTGGTGCACTCCTGATTCGTATACGTATGGTACTTTGATCAATGGGTTGTGTAGATTGGGAAAGATAGATGAAGCAAAGGAGCTGTTCAAAGAGATGGAGATAAAAGGATGTTCACCAAGTGTTGTTACTTACACCTCTTTAATACATGGTTTGTGCAAATGTGGGAATGTAGATGAAGCTACAGGATTGTTTGAAGAGATGAGGAGCAAAGGCATCGAGCCAAATGTGTTTACTTATAGTTCTTTAATGGATGGACTGTGCAAGGAAGGATGTTCTTCACAAGCTATGGAGTTATTTGAGATGATGATTAGCAAACGTCATAGACCTAATGTGATAACGTATAGTATTTTAATGAATGGTCTCTGTAAAGAAGGGAAACTCCGAGAAGCCGTGGAAATTCTTGATAGGATGAAGCTTCAGGGCTTCAAACCAGATGCAGGGTTATATGGAAAGATCATTACTGGTTTCTGTGATATCAGCAAGTTTCAAGAGGCTGCAAACTTCCTTGATGAAATGGTCCTTCAGGGAATTTCACCAAATCGATTAACTTGGAGTCTCCATGCTAGGATTCATAATACGGTGGTTCAAGGCCTTTGTAAAAGTGATGCTAATCGAGCATTTCAAGTGTATCTATGTATGCGGACTAGGGGTATCTCAATCGAGGCTGGGACTTATGGCTTACTCATAACATGTTTTTGTAAGAAAGGTGACCTTCATAAAGCTGCTCGCATTGTTGATGAAATGGTTCTTGATGGATGCGTTCCAGATGAGGGAACATGGAGTGTGGTGGTGAGTGGATTTTGGGATAGGCAGAAAGTGCGACAAGCTGCTCAGGTGGAGTTAATAAACAAATTTGTTGAACATGAAGAAGACATCCGAAATCAAGATGCATGATTCCAAACTGCGACGTATTGTGTAGCGTAACATTTAACTTACTTTTAACCATGTGAAATTTTAATGTACTTCCCTACAGCACCATGAATTTCTCATAAAAAAGCCATCAACAATGTTTTGGTTGCGAAACTTGGAAGTATTTTATGCTTTTTTCAATAATTTAACAGGTTACAGAGTTCATATAGGTAAAATGTCAAGTTCTTGCGTAGATTGGAAGTTTGGAACACGGGAAACTGTGTGATCTCTTGGAAAATAGAAATGCTTAAGTTCTTTTTTCACAGTTGTTTCTGCATGTAATGAAAGAAAGGGAAAGAGGTTGCGTCATTTTACATTCTGTCCAACTGTCACTCTTTATAATCTGTGACTGTAATTTTCTTTGTCTTGTAAGTTGTGCAACAAACGATACTATTTTCAAAATAATTTTAAGTTTGCCTCTGTAGTAATCTTATGCATAAATTAGAGATTTCCAAAGCATGAGAGACTGATACTGGCCTATTGTTGCATTTCAAAAACTTGCCATAGATTCTCAGTATTGAACAATTTTAATGATTCAGGGTCTGGATTCATCAGCAAAGCCTGTATTCTATGCTAAATATCAAGAATGGGTATCATTTTAGGACTCCATACATCTGCAATTCCACTAGAAATTAGATGGGAAGTGGGATTGGCTCTTCTTCGATTATTTTCTTTGAATGAGACTGGAAAGTCATCATGGATGAAAAGATTATGTTTTTGGTCTTTCCCTTAGCTTCTGACTTTTCATTGGATATATATGACATATATTTGTATCATGAAGTTGACTAAATATTATTGCTATTGATATATAGAATATGAATTTTCTTGAGTAATAACCTTAAAAAAAATTTACCTTGAATAGTTTCTAATGGCAACATTTAACCTCTCTCCTTTTAATATATATTATAATCTCTTACAACTTATGCTCAAATGTGTTGTATGGATATGCACTCACACACACTGATATTCTTGCTGAGTTTCCACTTTATTAAAAAATTCTTAAGTATTCTCTCATTTGAATTACTTTTTGACTTCCATATGATCATGTTCCTGCACTGATTACATGCTAAAAGATGATAACCTTGTTATTTTTTTTAGCATTCAGCAATGGGACTTTCAAAGATAACAAAATAGAGAATATGACTTTGAGAAGAATGGAATTGGCTTGTATCTCAAAGCAGTAAAGAGCAAACTTAATTACCAGTAAGAGGAAAGCCAATTCCATGACGCTGGGTTGGAAACACAACAAACAACATGCTGCAAATGACACCAATCCCAACTGGCAATGCTGTGAGCATCTCCTGAGTCTCATCTGAAGGTGTTGGATAGAAGCAATTTACCACATTCTGGTCAAACAGTGCAACAGCTGCAAATACTAGTATTGACATGAAGGCATGCATAAAATCTATAAACCGTAGCCGGTATTTTTCAGCAAATTCGGGTGGAATTGTAGCTGAACCATCAATGACCCACAAGCCCCTTATTGTGGCAAGTCCATAGCAGATGTTTCCACTCTTGTCTTTAAAGCTGTCTGTGAAGCTAAGTAGAAAACATGATAAACCACAGAGGGTTACAAGCCCAGCAGTCATGGACCGGCTGACTGAGTCACAATTACCTCCATTTGTGAATATGGGTGATAGAAATTGGAATGCAAGAACTGATCCTGTAGGTAAAAGATTGGCCAAATGAGCTGTGCTCTGAAATGTCTGACTAATAGCTTTTTGTATCATATTTCTCCTTTCCATTTCAGGTAGTGTTATATTTTTCAAGAGAGGAAGTTTTTGTTCCTCATGATGATTGGAGTCAGCTTCCACCTTAATCTCCATGAACCAAAACTATAAAAAAAAATTTGCTCAATTCTCTTGTACTTGGGTCTTCTATCTGCTGCTGATTTGTTTGTCTCCGTTTGTTTTTTCTCAAACTTTAACATGTTTATAAGTAGTGTAATGAGATGATGCATTTTGAGTGATGGTAAAGGGAGGGAAGAGGGGTTTGTGTTGACTTGCAAGAAACAGAAACCGAAATGTGGATGAAGTGCTCTTTCCAGAACTCCAGGAAGAGATAAGATCTCAAGTTTGCTTTTGATAATTAGTTAGAAGAACTTTGAAGGGATTGCCAAATGTTCATGAAGTTCTCATGACCATTGTATTTTGAGAGAGTTAATGCAATGCGTGAAGTTTAATTCTTTTTGCTGTAACGAGCAAGTTCTGATTTGGTGGGGTTCTGTTGCTTATGTATTGTCATGTGTTCATTGTTAAATGGGTGGGTTTTTAATTTTCCGTTATAAACTTTTGCTTCATCCGTATCCGTTTGTCTAGTTTCTTATATAATATAAGAAATGCAGGCAAAAGAATTATCTTAAAGAGGCCATCTTACGCTACTTTTCTCAAAAGTATTTTCCTTAGATTAGTGTCATGCCTTGCACGCCATATCTTGGTTGGCTGAGCTAGGCCTAGGAGCCACAGCTGACACCATAATTGGAAGGGGTGTGCAAAACCGGTTATCTGATTCGGTTTTGCATTTTTTTTATCCGATCCGGAAATTCAAATCAAGATGAAATCTGATCCGAATTTCGTTTGATTCAGTTTTGATCCGATCCAAATATTGAGATTGGATAAACCGGACATCAGATTTTGATCCAAATTTCATGGAAAATGTCAATTTTCCCCCAAAATTTCCAAGCCATAATAGAATGATAAAGATAGAGAAGCCATGGTATTGGCACAATGGAGAGAACAGAAGTTACCAAGAACAACAGGAGCCAGAGACAGCCATAGAGTGATGGGTATTGATTGTCCTAGTAGAACTGAGAAGCAGCAGCATTGAAGAGGGCTCGAGAGCTGAAATAAATAAAACCAATACCACAATGACCATAAATCAATTTATATCTGAAGTGAAATGAAAAATGAAAAACAGATGGATAGAACCAATGATTTTCCACCCAAAAAATTGGCTCAATTATTGTCGCACCTTTGATGGTATGAGTAAATGAGACAGCAACTGCTGCAAAGAGACATTGCTGGTGACATGGCCTAGCGCATGACACCAGCCACAGGGATCAACAGCTTCAGGAGTTTTGAATCGATAGGCTAACAGACAACCCGTCACAGGATATTATCAGTACAAAAGTCAGCACAAAAAACAAATAAGAGAAAGCAAAAACATTGCTAATAAAGATTGTTTCAACGAGTATAATAAGAGGTTTCTGCTTTTCACCATGTCAGAATTACAGAAAAAAGAATGACTTTTTCCCATAACCTAATGTATCCACAAGCTTCATCAATTTTTTTTTCAATTTCTACCACGCTCAATGTTTGACAACTAACTTGCTCTGTAGTTCATTAATTCTTTAACAAGATCTCTCTACAACATATCACATTGAGTCCCATATGAAAAATCCATACCTAGACAGATAAATCATCAACAGTTCTCCGTGCTAGTCAATTCAATATGATTTTTCATTCGAAATTTTTTATACCAAGAGATAACATCTAAAACACTTGTAGCCAAGTGAAATAATCTAACTAATCCAATCATAATTAATAAATTGCCATGAACCTTGATCTAATCCTTAACTAAATAATTAACAAGTGATATACAAGTACAAATTAAATCAATGGCATAAAGTAACTTGATTAAAGAGGTCCACTTACAGCGCGCTTGGGAAGGCCAACGGCCCAACTAAATAAGCAGTACACAACTCCAACAGCAGAGAATAACTGACACAAAACTAACACACAACAACTTTCCTGGTAGAACACACGAAATTACTGAAAGACCAAATCATCAAACAAAAATGGAAGTTAACTTACTAAGGATAGGGAAAGTAATTGTAAATCTTCTTATTTAAAATGTTGATATCACGTTCAAGAAGTACCTGCAAGGAAAGGGTATTGCAGTAATTTGACATCCGTTTGACGGTTAGAGCGGTTGTTTAAACGTAAAATAAGTTAACTAAGTCACGTGACTTACCACATGAAGAAGAAAAACCCGGTGACAAGAGCCGGGTACTTGTCAAAGAACCGACTTTCACATCTCTGCAGTTCATTTAAAAAAAGGAGATTAGTCTTGAGTTAACACAGTCGAGTTTACCGTTTCAGAACGGAGGAGACGGACCTCACGGCGGAATCGCCTCCTTGGGCAGGCGAAGAAGCGGCGGCGGCGAGGGCCGGAGAATCTCCCTTCTTCGGCGAACAAGCCGGCAGGAGCATGCGAGCTCTCGAGGAGTAAAGCCGGACGTAGCTGTCTCCCCAGATCACATTACCGCCTTCGCCAACAGCTCCGTGGCTTACGGAGACGAAGCTGACGTTGTGGTTGCTCTCCCGCAACGGCTTCCCGAAGTTACAGACGGTGGAGATGTTGTGGCACTGACAGCACTCGCGACTCCATGTTCCTGCTGTTGAGAGAGAGAAAGGGAGAGCGAAATGTGTTTGTGTTGCTAGAGTGAGCTCTTATTGGAGGAGATAGTGGCTGAGGAGGGAAATTAACGTGCGCCGAGGATGATATCTTACGCTGGGAAATCACGAGAACAGTTATTTTCAGCGGTTAATTTCATTTTTGTTTTTCTCATGTTCCGATCTCCTACGACGTACAACATTATCATCCTACACTACCTCTATGATCACGCAGGAGTATTGATGAACGGGAAGTTTTTAATGGACGGTATGAAGGAATTGAGAAGAGAGTGATATGGTGGGTAGGGGCAGTAGGTGAAAAGGGTAAAATGTGTTAGGAAGGTTGATCGGTGGTGGATAATGTGAGGAGGAGGATAGGTGGGGCCATCTTATCCCGAGTGAAAGGCCAAAGAGAGAGGTGTCTTGTCGAATCGTGATCTCTCTGGCCCTGTTTTCAAATCCTTATCGTTTTTGTTATGAGAGTGGTGGTGACTTGTGTGCGGTTGCAACTGTTTACCACGAATAATAGATGATATTTTTTTCCAAAAAGAAAAAGCTGCTGAAAATCTCCCATTAATATACTTCTAGATTTATTCAATCATACATGTAATTGGCTAACCTTAATTAGAATCTTAATTATTAAATTACCATCTACCTACCTGTCCTTTTATGGGGAGCACTATTTGAAACTTCTTCCAGATTCAATAATACTACGAAACACCGGGATTTTTACACCGAAATATTGTTACGACCTACGTGTAAACACGTTTCTGATTTTTTAATAATTTTTTTGAATGAATGTCGTCCATCAAATTTGGATGACGTTCACTCACATGGACGCCATATATTATAGGATGGGGTCCATTAAATAGGGACGCGTCCATAAGTAAATGAAATAAATTTTTATTAAAAATTAAGGACAACCGTCCCTAATTTGGACGGACGTCCGCAAATAGGGATTCTGTCCTTAACCAAAATATGAAAATAAAAAAATAAAAAAATTTGGGGAAGGGCGTCCATTCGTCCAAACGTCCATTAGATGGGGTCGAATGGACACCCGTCCCTTAAGTTTGGACGGGCGCCATTCCTAATGGACGCCCGTCCATACTTTTAAAAAAAAAAAAAAACACCTTCTTCCTTCTTCTTCTTTTCTTCTCTTCGCTCCACTCCATCCCTGTAATACCTTAAATCCATTTTGCAGTAATTCCTAATCCTCCACTGAATTACAGCATAAACAAAACAAAAATAACCTTTAGATCAGAATCAGAAGAATAATATCCCAAAATTAAATAATGAAGTTAGAAGCAAACCATCCTTAGCATTCATTCCATTGGTAAGTTCCCCACTAAGAGTATAAACTTCCATTGCATGATGAGAGGAGGAAGAGTGAGTCATCATCAACCTGGAGGGAAATTTGGTGCTAGCGGAAGCAATTCTGTAGCATATAAACTTCAGAGGCAGCTCCAAAAGTCGGAACAATGGAGGCCGAAACAGCCTTGCTATCGATGAACATTGAGGATCTCTTGTGACTGCAGTCGAGCTGAGTTACTTCAGAGAAGTAGGTCACCATGAAGAAGGGAGTCGGCTTTTAGGAAGTTTTGTGATTATATTTATCCCTATCAAAGTGCTTGAAGAAGTTACAGCATTTGAGCACCAATGGTGGAGGATTGTCAGGTGGAGTAGTTACTTTAATGGAAGAGCTTCATTGAGACTGTTGTTATCCAAACTCTCATGTTGCTGCTTCCAGTCTATCGTAAGGATCAAATGGATATCAAGGAGATCATAAGCTGTGTTGTGAGAGATATTGTTGTGGTTTTTGGCTTGGCGAAGAAGAAGAAGAGCGAAAAGGTGTTTTTTTTTTTTTAAAGTAGACGGGCGTCACGCCTGTCCAACTTAATTTTGGACGGCCGTCCTCAAATTTTTTTGTTTTTTATTTTCATATTTTGGTTAAGGACGGGTGTCCATTAGGAATGGACGCCGTCTGGTTTGGACCCCGTCCATATAATATGATGAGCGTCCATGTGAGTGAACGGTCGTCCAAATTTGATGGACGGCCGTTCACTGGAAAAAAATTGTTAAAAAAATCAGAGACATGTTACACGTAGCCCGGTACAATATTTCGGTGCAAAAATCCCGGTATCGTCTAGCATTATTGATTTCAGATTATAGCTCATTATGCTATTTTTTGTGCATGATTTTTCGATGACTACATTTGTGTCACTGTTTATATACCGAATCAAGATCTAGCGGTCAAAATCACCCACATGTCGGTCCCAATAAAATGACTCTCCAACAAGCTCATTAGTATTAAGCATGGGGTTTGGACTTAAACATAGGCGGAGATTGACTCAAATCCAGATTATAGAGGATATCGGTGTAATCTGTCTCGTAATACTAATCCCTAACCACTGTCAAACGGTGTGTATAAAAGGGAGACCTCACATCCATTTAAGGATTGACGATTGTTATTCACGCAAGCACAAGAACTATTTAGAGAGAGTTTGCTTGTTTCACGTGTTACTTCCTATAACCTTCTGTGTAATCCTAATACGAGCAATAAGATAATTGTGGACATTAGTTTGTTAACCCATTAAACCACTTTAAAAAGCTCTTGTATTCTCTACATTACGGTATTTCAATTCATTCATAGTTGGTA